CTCATTTTCTTCCCCAAAGGAGAAGCACTGTTGAAAAAGTATATACAGGTCAGGAGACCTTCCTGCCTGCATTAGCAACAGCAAGCCCTTACCAATTCTCATGAAGGAAGTTTCTGCAGGTCACATGTGGGTGTCCAAACATTTGCAAACACAACTGCTGTTTTCGATTATAGTAGGAGTCCTGGATTTTATCTGCTAGGGTCTGATGGGCAGGTGGGAGCAGGTTCCTGGGCCCCTGGGGTCATGAACATGGAGAGGGCCTGGACAGGGCACAGGCCCTGGCATGTGCGGTCTGGGCCACGCTGTCCCCTAAGCTCCTGCTCCCCGCCCGCTCAAGTCTCCACAATCAAGGTGGCCTTACGCACAGTGTGGAAGAGACACTCATCTGGTTCACTCAGCATCCAACACACCTATTGCCTCCAGACTCCAACCCCCAAAACATCACTAGGGTTTTATTTTAGAGGATTGTCACCACACCTCAAAAACGACAATTCCTCAGAAGTCAGAATGGTTCCTTCATTTGGGGGGTGCCGCCTATTTTTTAGGGTCATTTGTAAGAATCTTGTGTTGGCTTGGACGTCAGGGATCCTAAAACAGGATCCACCCGAGTGAGGGGTTCAGGGGTAAGTGTCGCCTGGGTGAGAGCCAGGTTCAGAGCCCCCACATGCCCCTGCTCACCGGCCCTCCCCTCCAGCCAGTGCCCCCCCACACCGCCTCCAGGGAGCTCCTGTACCCACAACCCTGAGGCCCTCCAGGCCTGACCCTTGACACCTTCAGCATGGGGTGGGGGCTCTCCTATCTGCTAACCCTGACTGAGCTCTCCGAGTTGCCCCAGGCCTTCCTGTCCCAACGCCTTCCACCAAGGGAACAGCTTTGGGGGGGGAGGAGGACATGTGGCACCTGATGTTGGCCTCAGGACATCTGCCTGCGGATGTGGAAGGCAGCCCGGGAGCCTGGTCACAGAGCTGTCACCCTGAAAGCAGGGCCAGAGGAACGGGGCCAGAGGAAGACCGATGGGCCAGTATGTCACCTTTCATTTTTAATTTACTACATGCATATACTACAAAATCAACATGGAAAATTAAATGAAAACTACACTGGATCACAATTTAAGCCATTCAAAGTAGTTACATAGTAATACACATCACCAGACAGGAACATGACAATCTCCTGAGCAGCCTGTGCTTGGGAAGGCGCCCTGGGCTCCGCGTTTACACGTTCGACCCCTTGTTTTCCTCCTCTTTCATCAGCTGTACCCTCGATTTAGGGTGACGTTATCCCAGAGCAGCACTTCAGGACAATTTGAGATGGAAAACATTAACATTCTTAGAGATGAGGTGAGCGATTTTACAAAGAACGAGGGTTCTGGATGGTGGGGAGAGGGTAAACCGGCTCCCCTCCTCTTTCTTTCTCATTTCTCCCCAAAACAGATGAAGAGGTGACGGTAGGGGGCTGGGAGGGCAGAGGCAGAGCCTGGCCGGGGGCAGCAGCGTTCAGGTTCCCCAGATCCCCCGCCTCCCCCCCCCCCCCACTGCTGGGGGCCCACACTTCACTGGAGGATCACTATACACAAGCCCAGACAGCCGCCCTCTAGCACTCAGTGGGTGCGGGGTGAAGCTGTGTCCTCCTTACTGCCGCCCCCTGCACGGAACCTCTGGACGGGCTGGGCAGCACCAGCTTTCCCAGCAGCAGAGTCAGAGGCCCCCCGGGGAGGCCAGGCTCCAGTGTGGACGCCACGGCGCTGGGGCACGAGTGTCAGGGAGCCTGGGTCGTGGTGTGGTTCACAAAACCCGAGTGCTCCACAAAAGGCAAACCTGTCATTTTAGTACAACTGGCAAGTCACGCACAGCTCCACCTCTGTCCACATTGTCCCTGCTATGTAACCGTGCCCAGGGCACGGGCTCAGTGATCTGCTCTGTGATCTGCAAAAAACCCAGCACACAGAGACAGAAATGTCGCGCCGCACAAATAGGTCTGCTTGGAGTTCTCGGGGCAGGAAAAGGAACGGTTTGTGTGTCACAGCCACGCACTCATTTCTCTGGGAAAACACCAGAAGTGGAAGGAGGCAAGGGAGGAAGGCTTTTAGTGGCTGTTGTCTTCCTTTTGCAGCACTTCCCCTACGTTTCTAGAACATTCCACATGGAACCCTCTGTGGCATCTTCATGTGACAGCTTGGTGAGCCTTCCTTTTCTGGGCCCTGCGCACGTTGCAGCCTCCTGACAACATGGTTCTACGCGGGAGGACGCGTGGGGAATGTTACCTGGGGGAACTGGGCACACTTGGCGCCGGCAGGCTAACATCACCACCATTCACACGTCTGGCTAAGCAGGCAAGCACTCCCGGCCTCCCCACCCACCAGCACCACCGCTGGCCCACCTGGCTGCCTTATTCAGCTGCCAGTTTTTGCCAAAGCATTCTGCTCCAGGATCATCACCAGAAAAATATCCAGGAAAGAGCCCAACGCACAGGCCAGCTCCAGACATTTGTTGTTGGCAGGGAGGGGGAGGAGCACTCTCAACACCCGGATGGACAGTTACCCTGTCCACGCATCCTCCCCATTCACTGCGGGGAGGAGGGGTCTACGTGCAAAGACCCACGCCGCTCAAGGTCCCACATCTGACAGCAAGCTGGTATCCCTGGGTGACTGTACCTCGGCCACAAGCCAGTTGAACGTGTCCTCTGTGGCCCAGACCGTGTGGCTCACGGGTGAGGCTACAGCGCCCTCTAATGGCTACAGTGCAAATCTTTCCATTCCCAAGTCCAAAATCCTCTCCGGTTCTAAAAATTGATTTGTGAGTTACCTCATCACAAGGTGAGCAGTGACTGGGGTCTCTCAGGGTGTAAAATGATAGCCCCAAGCACCACCTGCAAGTGCATTCTGTGCTTGGGATGAAACGCAGGGACATCCTCGGGGGAGTCCAAGGGACAGCACTCAGAAGTGAGCAAAGACGATGCCACACTGTTCACTGTCCACTGCCCCCGTCCCAGGAACTGCTCCCCAGGCTCCTGCGCCGTTAGCACCCAGCAGCCCAGGCCAGAGCGCGGGGCTTGCATGAGCATCACCGCAGGTGCAGGCCTGTCTCAGGCTGCTTAGTAAGCTGTGCAGGAGCCAGCTTGGGCTGCCCAGAACCTGTGGGTTTCCTGGGTGTGGAGAACCCAGCACTAGTCTAACGTCCCATCCAACTCCAGGTTCAAATATTCATTCACTTGGCTGTTTACTCACTTGTGTTAAATGATAAAACCCACAGAAGTGTTCTGCTTGGGTACCAGAAATTAAATCCAACAACAGCTTAAGCCAGCCTCACCCCTGAAGGTGACAGCGCTCCCGGGGAGCTCACGTCTGCTTTTATCAGGCCACACCAAAGGGAGGCCGACAAGTCAACTCTACCCACCTGGTGGCCAGAGGACTGCAACCAGCAGAAAATGGCCGGTGCTACCTATTCTCTGCCAATCACAAACACATAAACCTACCAAGGTTAAAAAATGGTTTCGAAGCCTACGACCAAGACACTCACCAGGCAAACTGCCCCACAAGTTCATCTGCAAACCTAATCTTCTCTTTCCCTTAACGGCTTTCCCTATGGGAAGGCCACCGAGGTCACCGCCACCCACAGGAGGCACAAGGCAACCATCATCTCACCTGACCTCGAGGCTCCAGCACGGAGGGCCACCTGCCAGGGCCAGGAGACAGACTAGGAAACCCCCTGCTGCCCCCAGCTCACCCACTGTCAGGTATAGGAGGTAGTGGCCGGCAAGGTCGCATTCCCCGTGACCATACTCTGAGCGTTAAACGCCTCCCCACACCGTCATCTCCGTCTGCCTGATGTAGTCTCCACCTCCAGACTTGCCTGGAAAGGCTGCCACCTCCATGTGGATGTTCGAGGTTCCCATATCCTAAAAGCACACTGAAGATTTGTGATTCCAGCCACCAAACGTGTGTACCTGGCCCCAAGTCCAGATACCAACTCAGAAAGCCAGGAACCTTGACTCCTACGTGTCCCTCTACCTCAGTGCATGACTGCAGCTGTAATCCCACCTCGGAGACATATCTGAAACCCACGTGCCCTTGACCTTCTGGACTGCTCTCTTGTGTTCTCCGCAGACCTCCTGACAGGTCTTGGCTTGCCCTTTTGCCCTCCTCCCATCCTTTTGCCCCAGAAAAGTTCCCCCAATAAAATATGACCTCATATGACACCCCTGTCAGACCTGCTTCCAAGCATAAGCAAGCCCGGGGCTGGCTGCCCAGACCCCAGTGACAGGCAGTCACCCATATGACTGAACACTCACCCCTCAGACTGTGTGTTCAGGCCACCCCAGCCTTCTTCCCGCACACAGTGGGCTCTTCCTTCCCAGAGCCAGTCCACCTGCCCAGGACAGTCACTTGTCTTGTCTCAGGGTTGGCTCCCTCCTCCCAGGTCCTAGTTCACCTGCTACCTCTTCAGAGGGACCCTCCTTGACCAATACTCAGAAAGATAGGAGTTGCCCCTGTTATTCCAGGGCGAACCTCCACGTTATGACACAGCACTTACTACAACTTGAATGCAGATTTCCTGGATGGGTGGTTAGGATTTTTCTTTCCCAGCGAGGTCCCTATCATGGAGCGCACGCTCAGCAAATACTGGTAGAAAGAACACCATGCCAACAGAAAGCTTCCAAAGGGCAATGCAGAGTTATTTATAAATCTCAATTATGATTGTTATAATTGCTTTAAAAACACGAGGCAGGAGTAACAAAATAGCTGTCAAATGTAATTTTTAAAGGGCAGCAATATTTGTAGGTATACAAACACATCCAATCATGAGGGCCAATCAGTACATGTAATTATCTGGTATCCGATGTCGCTAAGAGCATCTCCGAGAAACCGGCTAGACAATGGCAACGTCACATTATTTCTAACTCTTGGAACGGCCGTTTCATCTTTGGTTAGAGTGAAGAACTTTCCATCTTTGGTTGGAGTAGAAGTAACACCCAGTGTCATTCTTCACTGATGAGAACAATCATGTGCATGGCTTACTTTTATTTTTTATTATAAAAAACACATACAAGAGTTTTAAGAAATGATGAATATAAGACAAATCAGACCCACGGTGAGTTATTAAACCCATTTTCTATGTACAAATACTAAAATTCCGAAAGTGGAATATCATCAAATGTGAAACACATTATAGCACTGTCCATATGTACACGGCACACACAGAGACGAGCCTGCGCACATCTCTGAATCGTCTATATACATGTCGCTGACACAAACCCTGCAAGTGAACTTCTACTCTTCGGCTCCCCTTGTCCTGATACAGTGACACTTTTAAGGAACTGCAGAGACAGGAAGAAGATGCACTAGAATGGGTCTCTAAGGCTCTGCCGGGTTTTCCTCTGACTAGGTGCAAGCCGCTACACCATGAGAAACAATTCTGTAGCCCATTTCCAGCTAAGACAGTGGAGGTCTTCTAGCTCTTTCTTAGCCAATTTACTTTTTCTCCTAAGTCAATCATTTCAGCGCAAAGTCCAAAATTAGCTAAGGAATCAAATCAATGCTTTTATATTAAATTCATTATAAAATGCCACTCAATTTTAAAAAGCGACTAAAAGGACACTTTCTGCAGCAAAAAGGGCTAAGTTCAAGTTTTTGTTGTTTGACCAAGGACACAATACTACAACCCACATGTCATGGAATCACAACAGCCTTAAGTGAAATGTATGCGGTTTGGGGAAAGGCAGCCCTGCCACGGCTGGCTTCTGTCTCCTCGCCACAGTGAGAGGAGAGCCTCTGGGCACTGTCTCTCTTCGATGTCTTTCCTTTTGGAACCTGTTTGTGCTCTGTGAGCAGACTCATCTATTTGTACTCAAGATATGTAAAGGCACTTCTCTAGACACAGTGGCACGCCGCAGCTTAGCCGACCTCCTCTGCGCACAGTGAGCTGACTTCCTCCAGGCAGCTGAGCACTGCGGAGGGCACGCTGTGCGCGGTCTCTTTGCGCCAGGCTTCCAGGATCTTGGATATCTCCGCTGGGTTGCTGGGACTCAAATCACAGAGAGCGTACACAGCCGCCAGCTGGATGCCCCATGGTATATCTGGAAAGAATTTTCATATCAGTCATTCCACAAGAAAATGCCTGTTACTCAAAATTTTCATCGTCTTCCACGGAGTTACTAGTCAAATACAAGGCACTCTCTGCCAGCAATGGAAAATATAAAAGAAAAAACCCACAATAAAAAAATTAAAGATCTACAAATGGAAAGAGACAAAAGAGCAGAAGAGTCGTGTGCAGGCCCAGCTGCCAGGCTGACCTCAAGCACTGCCAGTTAGCACAGGACACGCGGCCACAAAGATCCAGGCCTCGCAGCTTTGGAAGGATCATGCTCCATATTTAAGTTTCAATAAAATGTGGATCCCAAAGTAGTTGTCAAGTAAGTAACTCCATTAGCTATTCACTGAAGTGTTCTGAACACGAAGAATGCAGAAATGAGGTGAGACGGGGTCCTCCCGCCTGCTGCAGCACTAAGCACAATGCACGACCAGAGGGCCAGTGGGTGCCAACAGGCCATGGCAAGGTCCAAAATTCTGGTAGGTGAGCCTTCTCATTTAGCAAGGTTATTTATAAGTTATTTAATTAAAATACAGTAAGTTAAATTTTAGTCAAATCATCATTCAAACAACACAAAACCCACATGTGCTCAATGTCTTGCTGAAAACAGGCAAAGCGGCAGCTATCTATCTATTCATTCATTCATTTATTCATTCATTATTGGAGTTCAATTTGCCAACATATAGCATAACACCCAGTGCTCATCCCATCACTGCAGCTTATCAAATGCCCCACTCCCCCTAGCATGAAGCACTAAGCGACACAGCCCGGCTTGCAGTAAACACTCAAACAGACTTTAATAGGAGAACGCAAGGGACTTAAAAATAATTTCAGTTAACAAAGGTTTTACCTTCATCCTGGGCGTGCTGTATGAACATACCAATCACAGAACTAATATTCTTCACAGCAGATGGGAAGCCTTCCTTCAAGCCCAGCTGGCCTAAACGACCTAGGGGACATAAGGGAACCAGAATGCAAACAATCCTCAGTGAAATGTGAACTTTCTGTAAGACTTGAAAATTTCTGCTCTCTTTCCTAGAACACTGTGTTCATTAAGCTTAACGATCCTGAAGTTAAAACAGATACTTCTTCCAAGAAAGCAAGTAAAAAGGGTGAGGCACCAGGACCCCACCGAGCACTGTCTGTCTTACTGGGGGGTAGGGGTGGTGCTGAGCAAGACCACCAATCACCCCACGTTCACTCACACTTGGGGGACGGGCAGTGCACAGCTTTCTCGGGGAAGGTACCATAAGGAGTGCAATTAGGAGAAGGACTGGTTTCAGCAGGCGCACCGTGAAGTGGAAGATTTCTGTGAGGTTCTGAGACAAACCCCCAACCCCGCCCTGAAAGGCTGTCCATCAGGCCTGGTTTGGACCCAATACTTGGCTGTTCTAAGTAAGCAGAGCAGCACCCCAGCTCTCAGGTGTGATTTGCAGACCCCCACAGTACTACTCAGGGTCAAAATGATTTTCACAACAACACAACTTTCACTTAGCGGCAACCTGCCTTCTTCCCAGGGCTGGGACCAGACAGACGGCACAAAGGCCAAGGGCCCTTGGTACCTACAGGGTGGCGGCTGCAGGCAGTCCCCCTTACAAGCCAGAAATTCCCAGTGCAAAAAGTGAATTGCACTTACAAATGTCCTCTGTGAAGCAATAACAATTCTTATTAAATCCAGATCCCTAAACTACAGAAGTCTGTAAAGTTCGGGGGAAGGGGATTGGGGCGGGGGGGGGGCAAGAGCCCATATGCCACACACCCAGGCACGCCTGCTGTCCCGAGGACATGCACTGGTGTAAACTGCTTGAACTGGGAAGGGAAAGGAACTGGTGCTTCTCCATGCAACACCCACATTTCACTGAACAGATAACTGACAAACTATAGCTATTCAGACCAAGAGACATTTTCTCAAAAATGAATAAAGTGAACCTGTCACTGAAAGGAATTTATCACTGTTGTCAGAGATAAATTGTGAGCTCTTATGCAAAATTAGAATTCTGGAAAAACTTCCATCAGCCACCCTAAGCTTGACAGCTTCAAAAATTTAAGACTTCTCTGATGAGATCAGTGATGATATTAATGTCTGTTTTCTCGATATTGTTGACATTTGGAAGATCTATGCAAATCAATATTTTTCAAGTGAGCAGTGCATGTCACAGAATCATGAATGGGCAGACAGCCTCTTCAACGTGCACCAGAGACCAACTGGCAGTGAAGCAGGAAGGCCCCCTGGTAAGCACACCTCACACTATACATCCAGCCTTCAGGGAGCTACCCCTTGGGGAATTTTAATGCAACATCAAAGAGGAATAGCCACAATGATCTGAAAAAGCTATTAAAATACTCCTCTCCTTTTACCAGTCCCGTATAAAACTGGATTTCCTTCATACACTTCAACTGAACAACATACTGCAAGAGCCTGAGTGCAAAGCAGACAGGGCCATGAATCCAGATAGGAAAGAGGTCTGCAACAAGGTTACGTGCCCATCCTCCAGTTACTGTGGTTGGGAAATATTTTTCACTGAGAATGTCCTTTATGTTAATGTTGGTTATTACTGATTTTAAATGAAAAGCTAAATGCTATTTTAAATTTTGAATATGTTAACACCTCACAGATACATGTGGAGGGAAAGAAGCAGCTGGGGAGGTAACTCCAACTGAAGGCTGCAGCAAACCACATTCCGCCCCCTGGCTAGCCTCCACTCACCGGGATACTTCCTTTCTTCCAAGGGTCTGTGGATACAAGCTTGCTTCAAAGCAGAGGCCCCATCCCTCCCTCAAGACGAGGCCTCATACCCTTCATCTCTTGTACGGAGAGGACTCTGGGACATACCCAGATGCACTCTTATCCAGATCCTTTTCCTGGGTTCTTACGATATGCCCTGCAATCTCTTTTCTGTGTCCACATTTTTCTCAATACTGCACATGTCCTCGGGGTTGTATGTGAACCTAGGCCACTGGGCTCCCTCTGAGTAACCCCGAGAAAAACCGACTCAGGGCTGGTTCTGTGCAACCAGAATGTTGCTAGAGACTTGGTCAATTCCCACTGATGGATGAATCCCTGGAAAATTTCAAACCTAGGATGAAAATATAAACACCTGGGTAATTTCCTGGGAAATCCTTCATTGAGGCTGAAAAGTAATGTCCTTCAGAGATCAGGAATTTCACTTATTGATCAATTATCTGCTTCTAATTCTATCAAACTGGTAGCCAGATCTGTCCTCCGACACAGTCTACTAGGGTGTTCAATACATAACGGATAGTAGAGACAGGGATGGGGTGTGTGCCAAACACAGACATGGGCTCCTTTCAGCCCTGGGATGTGTATTCCCAGATAATAGAGAACCCTGTTATAATGGCTCCTGTTCTTTCAATTAAAAATGCACAACAAATTGGATTTTACAAGCTATTTAAATTAATGGAGCTATCCGGAATAAAGTAAGAGGAAATCACAACATGGAGATGGGGGGGGCGGGGGCTTACATATATGATGACGAAGATGATAAGACAATTTGCTCCATACATGGGAAGAAAAGCATGTGACTCCAGGTGGCTCAGCCATATTAAAATACAAGTAAGAAACGTGCACTTCATCTCCATGTCAGAAACAACATTTCACAGCACCCAGGAAGTGTGAGGACAGCTAGGGGCCTGCAGAGAAGGTGACCTGGGGCCACTCAGGGTTTTCATTCAGATCACAGGTGCAGACCAAGGGAAAAATGAGTTGAGATCATTTCAGAACAAAGGCGACAGGCCTCAGAAGAGACTGGGTACAAATTGACAATGGCTACTTCAGCTAGCCCTGCAAAACCCTGCTGTGGGAAACTGCGTTATCCTAGCTTCTAGGCTCCAGGCAATACCAGGTGGGCCATAGGGGGGGTTAATAGGCTCTCCGAGGGCACTGAACTCAATTTAGCAGCACGTAAACTTTGTTCTCAGCTCTGCTGCCACCCCAGGGTGTGACCTCAGACAAGGGCTGAACCTCCCAAGCCTCATGTCGGCCCCGAAACAAGCAGAGTGAAGCAGGTTGCATCACTTCTCTGAGGCCCCCGAATCTAGAGCAATGCAGTCTACAGAATGCTCTAACACATCATCGTTCAAGGATGTGAGAACCCCATCTAATAATCATACATGGCCCCCACTAACAGCAATATTCACATCCCTATCCAACATCCGAAACACTGAACTGTTCTGACAGAAAGCATCTTTTATTTCCCTTGGAGTGAAAATCCAGTTAGGGTTTTGCGAATCTGGAAATCAGAATAAACACAACACCGTTATTTTGTAAATGATGACTTCGGTCATCATTACTAATTCCTGTCCTAGCAATTTACTTACTAAATTCTTCAGTGAGTATTAGCTTTGGAAGCTGCAAGAAGGTTCTCTACAGGGTTTCTTCTTACAAATAGTTCAAACTCCAAATCGGACAGGTGTGAAGGGGCCATGTACACCTGACCCTGAAGGGATTCCTCAGAACTCTGCCAGCAGGCCTCACCTGTGTCTGCTTACCACCCTTGGCAACCCATCACCCAACAATAATGCTTCAGCCAGCCAGAGCAGGCAAAGTTGTGCCACCAGTGACTCACAGCAGCCCTCTCCACACAGAGCTCAGTCATACATGTTAGCTCAGCCTCCCAGGCACATCTGCAGACCAAAAAGGGCTCGCCAGGCCTGGTTCTGCTCTTACTTTGACCATCACCATCTCCTTTGGATCACATTCAATATTTACATAATATCATTTTAACCTGCAATACTATTAACTATGTTATCAATTATTCCCATAATATACAACTTATCATATATGACTTAATGATGTGTGTAGCCACACTTTTCTTTTTTTTTTTAATTTTTTTATTTAGTTATGATAGTCAGAGAGAGAGAGAGAGAGAGAGAGAGAGAGAGGCAGAGACACAGGCAGAGGGAGAAGCAGGCTCCATGCACCGGGAGCCCGACGTGGGATTCGATCCAGGGTCTCCAGGATCGCGCCCTGGGCCAAAGGCAGGCGCCAAACCGCTGCGCCACCCACCGAGGGATCCCCACACTTATTTTCTAAAAAACTTCTCAGACCATTTGCATGACCAGCCAAAATACGGAAGAATTCTGAAAACCAACTGCAGGGGAGAATGACACATGAGGCTGACCTTCCACCACAGATGCAAAAGACTGTGTGGAAGTCACCAGCAGCTCAGCTTTCCCCTCTCCCACACCTGTCTCCTCCTATTACGACCAGTACATATATAAACAGACACGTTTGCAAACAACAGCAGCAAAAATCACACCGTATTTTATAAGTGTTCTTCAATACTTCAAAAGTTTTGAAGACTTGAAGACTTCAAGAAGTTTCATGTTTTCAAAATTCCGATGATATTTTATCTAGGTCAATAAATGTATTTATGAATTTAACATTACCCAATTTTTTAAATTTTCAAGAAGGTTTTGTAATTTAAAATGTCAGTTCCAAGTATGAACATTTTTCTTGAATCTGTGAGAGAAGATGCTATTAAAAGCAGACCGCAGACATCCAGATGCCAGTGGATGTTGAAAATGTGTCCCTGCCCCTGAGGGGTCCTTAGTGCTTCTGGATTAGGGCTAAAATTGTTCAAGGCATCCCGAAATAAGGAATTCTGCAAACTTATAGTTTGAGATGGTCCCCCACAGAGCAGTTCACTCACTTCCACTTCTACCCCCCTATCTTTGCGGGCATCTCTTCTAATTCCCCCACCGTCTCTACCAATCATTTGGCACACACACTCTCCATTTGGTAACTTCACTCCAAGTGTATTTCTGGTTATATCCAGTGAAATCAGAGGTCTTCCTTGAGAGCAGGAGTACCTATTTAATGATACAGTAACAAAACTAGCCCGGATATACAAGTCATAACAAACCTATTTATGGGACTGACTTACATAATTTAAGTATTTGGAAGCCTAATTTCAAGTGGTGCTGTCTTGAAGTTCTAATTAATTAAACTCCAAGATATTCAAAACTCATGGTGAGAACTTCCTAGGACCTGATGGCTACAGCACAGGTCTCAGATGAGCCTCGATCTCGATGCTGTGCCCCAAGGGCAAGGAATACGTGCTGCAGATGGAGAAGTCAGTTCAAAGTAAGGAGAGTCTTCCAAAAATTAATAGATCTCATCACTGATAATTCTGCAGAGCCTAGAGAGCAACTTGTCAGAAATTAGGCAAGGAGGAAAAAAGAAGTAAAAATAAAAAATAAAAATATGCAGGTGATGGGGAGCAGACTCAAAGCCATTGCGGTCCTGCTCATCAAGGATGAAAGAGAATCTATGCCTCATTTCAATAAGGACTTTAGGGCAGCCCAGGTGGCTCAGCAGTTTAGGGCCTCCTTCAGCCCAGTGCCTGATCCTGGAGACCTGGGATCGAGTCCCACATCAGGCTTCCTGCATGGAGCCTGCTTCTCCCTCTGTCCATGTCTCTGCCTCTCTCTGTGTGTCTCTCATGAATAAATAAATAAAATCTTTTAAAAAATAAAAATTAAAAAAAAATAAATGAGAATTTTAATCTCTGTATATGGGCTTGGAGGAAAACAGAGCCAGGGCCCAGTCATGAAGTTATAGGATGTGAACCTGCCTGGGCCAATAGAGAAGCAGCTGCGAGGCGGAGGTGGCGGGCCTCAGAAACCCAACGAGACTCGAGTGTCACTGACCACAGTTCTGCCTGGGTGTGTGAGTCACCCTCATGTCAGGGTGTTCACGGTGTGTGCGAGTGGTAGGAACTGAGCAGCGCACATGTAATCACACGTATAGTGTCCCAGCATGAAGACTTCATCTCTGACAAAGTGGGAGAAAACATTAATTTATAAAGAAAGAGCAAGTGAGGAGAAGGAAGCGACAAAGCATCTATTCTAGCGGTGTCAGATCAGTGATTCCAGTGACGTTTCATAGCTTTGTTCCCCCACCATGACATGGTCAAGAAGAAAACACTTCATAAAACAGACAACTCACCAATCAGCCTCAGTATCGATGCTATAATAATATCAGGAATATATGCGATGTTCGCGTGTCCTTTCCTGTATTTTATCCACTTATCCATTACAGGCCACAGCTCTTTACTAGAAAACAACAGCATATATATATGTTTATTTATGTACATGAACGTGAAAAGTATGCACGTCCACCATCAGTCCAATATTAACAACTTATAAATGGTCCATAAGAGACAATTAATAAAAAAGAGGGACTTCTAAAAATTTATTTACTTATTTTTAAGTAGGCTCCATGCCCAATGTGGGGCTTGAACTGACAACCCTGGGATTAAGAATCGTCTGCTCTACTGAGCCAGCCAGGTGCCCAAAAAAGGGTCTTCTGAAGATGTAACTTTTTAGGGTAAAATGAGAACAGACACTGGAAGCTCATACACTCTCCAACTATTCCAGATATTTGGGCCCACACTGGCTTAAATGAGGCTATAGATACTCATGCTTGCATCTTGAGTCTATTTTCACTCTTTATACAAGGCTCCGAGTAGAGATGCCAAACACTGTCCCCAAGTCACAGAACTGGAAAAAGTGGGAGTCAGGATCTTCACTGAGACCTCCAGAGACCTCTATAGCTCGGAGGAGCAGAGCAAGGAGCTCAGAGGAAACAACCACACTGCAGACTCGCTACTGACTGCAAACACTGCTGGCCCCTCTTTGCTTTCTCTTCTTTCAAAAGTGTATTTACTTCTTATATGGTATTTATAGTATTAGAAATGTTAAAATGCCAGGGCGCCTGGGGTTGAGCATCTGCCTTTGGCTCAGGTCATGATCCTGGGTTCCTGGGATGAAGTCCCGCATCGGGGTCCCCGCAGGGAGCCTTCTCCCTCTGCCTGTGTCTCTGCCTCTCTCTCTATGTGTCTCTCATGAATAAATAAATACAATCTTTAAAAAAGAAAGACAAGTTAAATGCCAACACACAGAAGAAAAAGGTAAATTAAAAGCACCCCAAATACATTTTCAGATATTACTCAACTAATCCTGGATTTTTCTTTCCATGTGCTTCTCTACATGCATGTACGTAAACACGTGGTGAAGGTGACCACAGCGCTGCACGATCTGGGCCTGGAGCTGCTTAGGCAGAGATCCTGACCCAGCAGGGGGACCTGGGCAGAGCACCTCTACCAAGAACCACTCCTGGTGGGCTGATTAGTCATCCTACCTGCTGGGCCCCCACGAATGAAGAGTCAGGGACAAGGCCCACAGGAGGCACTCATACCTTACATACACGCGACAGACCGCCCCACCACTCCCCAGTGAGCGAAGGAAGAAGCACTGAGAGACTCTCACGCATTGTCAATGCTTAAATATCCACTTACAGCTAGTTACTTTAATATGGCATTATTTCATTATACAGAAGAACCATAATTCAATTCCCTATTGCTTGACATTTAGATAAGTAATATGTCCCTAGTGTTAAAGAGGAAAGAAAGAGAGAAGTTTCCCACAGAACACATTCAAGTATCTCCAGGATATGGACCATCAATCCTTTGTGAATCCTTTTTAATGCCATAAAACTCCTTTCAACCAGCCTTTCTCAGTCGAGGTCCCAAGAAAACTAAGATCTGTGGAAGTCATCTGTGTGATCATTTTCTCCATTCTCCCAAAGATGGTACATAGCTAGTGAAGAATTCCCATGCACAGAGGAAAGCAGACTCATTACATAAAACAGATGCCTGACACTTAGTTCTCTCCTGAAACCCAGGTGAGAAAAGCTGCTAACCTGGAGCTCTTAATATGTCTGCTCACATGGGTTTCCCAGAGTATTTGAATGTGAAGATATGATCATGATGCTTCCTCCTACACTACTTCCCTTTGTGGGCACTGCTCTGTGAGCTGGTGATGTGCCAGTGAATCCAAACCCCTCCTTCACCAGTGTCATGCTCCTTAGGGGAGAGACAGCACCAACAGAATACAATGAAAAGAAGTTACAGCCACCACAAACACATAAATTAGCAAGGGGAAGTGATAATAATACAAATCCTTTAATTGGAGTTTTACCAACTCTTACCCAAATCAAAATGTCACTTGTACATGTTTCAGTGGCCTTCAACAGCAGTAACTATTCAAACCACAAGTCAGCAACCATGCGACCAGCTACCATCCAATTCAAGAACCCAACTTTCAGTTAGCAAAACAGCCCTGTACCTTATAATGTTATCATGTGTCCAAATCCACTTCTGATGGCAACAAAGCAGATCAATGGCAAATATGTACTCCCAAGTGTTATCACTTAAGTCTTCACCAAATTTTTCACTGGACTGAAATTCTGTTTTTGGACACAACTGTATGGTCAAAAGCAGCTTAGAAACCATGAAACCCACATCCACAGGAGCATTCTAGCAAATGAAAAAAGGAAAAAACAAAATATAATTTAGAGTTTCAAATGTTACAGATCTTGTGTTAGTAATCTCAGAGCGTTACAAGCATCAGATGAATAACCATTTAATTTTAAACACTTTTTTTTTTTTTTTTAAGATTTTACTTATTTATTCATGAGACACACACAAAGAGAGGTAGAGACACAGGTAGAGGGAGAAGCAGGCTCCATGCAGGGAGCCCAATGCAGGATTCGATCCAAGAATCCTGGGATCATGACCTGAGCCAAAGGCAGACACTCAACTGCTGGGCCACCCAGGTGCCTCAAAAGACACTTTTTTAAAGTTGTATTTGAATAAGGAACTATGTTTATCTTAATCATAACACTTGTCCTAAAACGATTATAAGCACAGAGGTTGGTAGGCCGGATAAAAAAAGCTCCAAGCCTGGAGTCAACTTAAACATACAACTCTTGGGTTGGGCTCAGGTGATGATCTCAAGGTCCTAAGGTCGAGCCCCCAGTTGGGCTTTGTAGTTGAGACTCTTTCTCCCTCTCACTTTGCCTGTGCTTCCACACTCGTGTGCTCTCTCTCAAATAAATAAAATCTTAAAAAAAAAAAAAAAAAAGGCTGCAGGCAGGATGCATAATCTAGTCAGGTAGAAAGGAGATGAGCTGCAATCCCGACAGAAACACAAGTTTTTATTACCTCAAATTAGAAAATTAAAGTTATAAAGTTATAATAAGAACATTTTTTAAACTTTAAAAAAGTTCTCCAAATTCTATCATCCTCTGACTTTAGTTATCAGTCTTTTTGTAGAAATTCATACAATTGAATCAGCTACTACTAGAATCCTCTGTCTGGCTTCTTTCACAGTTGTGGATGTGTGCTGATAGGTACCTGCACTCTTATACCTACCAATCGATGAACACTTCTTCCTGTTGCTGAGGATTATCCTTTACATGATGGACCAGTCCATTTATCTACTCACCTCCTGACAGACATCTGGGCTATTCCAGTCTCAGGCTACACGGGATAATGCTACTATGAACGTGCATGTAACATGTCTTTGTATGGACATTAACTGACTTCTCTTAAACAAAGAACTAGCAGTGGATTTATAATTTTTTCTTACTTGTGCAATTTTTTTTAAATTGGGTTTTATTATTAAAAATAAAGAGGGACGCCTGGGTGGCTCAGTTGGGTGAATGTCCAAACTCTTGATCTTAGCTGAGGTCTTGATCTCAGGGTTTTGAGTTCAAGCCCCACACTAGGCTCCACACTAGTCGTGGAGCCTACATAAGAAAGTAATAATAGTCAACAAATAAAAAAATAAACAGAAAGCTTTTACTCTTTTCATATACTTGCCAAAGACTGGGAATTATTTGGTTCTTCAAAAGATTAGGTAAAATTCAGGTGTAATCTACACATGCTTTTTATACAGTAAATTTTTTATCAACATTTCCACTTCTGGGGATCCCTGGGTGGCGCAGCGGTTTGGCGCCTGCCTTTGGCCCAGGGCGCGACCCTGGAGACCCGGGATCGAATCCCACGTCGGGCTCCCGGTGCATGGAGCCTGCTTCTCCCTCTGCCTGTGTCTCTGCCTCTCTGCCCCTCTCTCTCTCTGTGACTATCATAAATAAAAAAAAAAAAAAAAAACATTTCCACTTCTTTCATGATAATCAAAACAATTGGTTTCAAGTGTTCCATCTCTGAAACCCAGTTTGATCATTTTTATTTTGCTAAGAAATCATCCTCAGCTTCCAATCCTGCACTATAGAGCCGAGGGTGGTGGTGGTCTCAACCTTCCTCCTACATCTGGAGTCTGTTTTCTTTCTTGTTTTTGAAATCCTCAATAGTTTCTTTTTTTTTTCATTAGTCTGACCTAGGAGCTGTTTTGTTACTATTTCTTAAAGGCAATGGGTTTTTCTTCTATGTGTTTTTTGTTCTCTGCTTCATTACTATTACCTTTTAAACTCTATTCCTTTTTTTCCTAGATTCCTTCTCAGACATTTAATTTTTAAAATCATTATCAGGCATTTTATTATTATTTATTTAATAATGAAAACATTTAAACTATCTTAAGTCTTGCAAAAACTAGAGATCTTTAGTACAAAGGGTTTTCCTTTTCAATGACTTTTATTTATTTATTTATTTATTTATTTATTTATTTATTTATTTATTTATTTTTTAGTTTTTTTAATTTATTCATGAGAGACACAGAAACAGAGGCAGAGGAAGAAGCAGGCTCCATGCAGGAAGACCGACATGGGACTTGATCCCGGGACTCCAGGATCACGCCCCGGGCCAAAGGCAGACACTAAACCGCTGAGCCACCCAGGGATCCCCTCAATGACTTTTAAAACACTGATTTTACTTTTGAGTTCCTTTTTATTCCCAGATTGTCCAGCAACATGTATGCCAACTTTCAAGTAATGTTTATGGAATCTGTTTCACTGAATTACTACCAGGGAATTTTGAGTATGGAATCTTTACTTTTTAAAAATTAAGGGGTTTTTTTTTGTGTGTGTGGCCAAGATCAGGACTGGTTTTGTAAATGTGACACAGACACACAAAGAAATACATACTCTTCAGGTTTACATTTTATTATTGAATTCCACTGATTCTACTCATTTTATCTATTGGATCTACTGAATTCTGTGACAGAAGATCTGGAAGTCTTTTTTATTATAACCCAGGTAATTTCTAGCCCAAGTATTACTCATTTTTTATACCTTTGACTTTATATTTTTATTTGACATGATATAAAGCAAATACATTTATTAAAATTCTATTCTCTTTATAAAATCTTCTATCATCAAATTGTCATATCTGGTTTTATCCTCAGTGCACAAGCAGGACTAAGCAGATGCAAGTCCGCCTGCAGGAACCTGGGGGAGGAGCTCTGCAGGTAGTGGGAAGGGGTGGGACTGTGGCCAACAGTGACAGGAGGTGGAAGGGGTCTTCTTAGTGGCTTAGTGGCTGACTGGAATCTGACAGTGCTCCCAGGACTACACTCGGATTCGTATAGAGGAGTTGCTAAAGAGATGATTACAGACTTGGTTTTCAGTATTTCCTTATTTTGTGTTCATCAAGAGTCCTTTCCTTTTCTTTCTGTAAGAAATTAGAAGTCGGGGCACCTTTGTGGCTCAGTCAGTGGGGGCATCCGACTCTTGATTTCAGCTCAGGTCAAGATCTCAGGGTTGTGGGATCATGTGGGATCAAGCCCCACATCAGAGTCAGCTTGGGATTCTCTCTCCCTCTCCCCTGTGCCCCTCCTACATCTCGCTGGCTCAGTCTCTTTCTTAAAAAAAAAAAAAAATCTCTCTCCCTCTCCTCCTGCACACACATGCGCACGCACACACACACGCTCTCTTTCCAAATAAACAAATAAAAAATAAAAACCAATCAAGGTCAACCCCTCACTGAATTCAACATCTCTTCTTAGTGTGTACCCCTGTAGTGCCAACAGTGGTTGCCAACTCAACCTCCAAAGATTCTCACTAGATAAACAGCTGTGATAGAAAAGAACACCAATCTAGACAGTAGGTATATCAGCACTTAGTTAGCAAAAAAAATAATAAAAAAAGGGAAAATAACCCACAGGAACAAAATACTTAAATAAACATGTCATCAACTAAAAAGAAAAGTAGAGAATATTAGATTGAGAAAAATCAACCAGGAAGGAGTTGAAATGGCATTTCTCACCTTCGAGCCCTGCAGATGCACTGCACACATACACACACATACATCATACATGGACCTCATCAGTTATAAACAGTGAACAAGATATACTCTTGTTAAATGAACACAACACCTACATCTGTAATTCTTCCCAAAGTGCCTCATGCATATTGTCCAAACTAAATGCTTGCACTTAGGCTAAAGTGGTATTTTTAAAGGATCTAATAATAAGAGTTGTGTCTCTCAAATGTTCATAAACTAATTCAACAGTAAATACAAAACTGAATCCAAGAGCTACAAGCAAGGTCTGATGATTTAGAAATTAAAAAAAAAAAAAAAAAAAAACACCTCACCTTTTCCCAGTTGAGAAAGGCTCTCAAACAGTTCCGAACCTCTCCTTTAGCACGTTGCCTGGCAACCAACTGCATTGCCTTATTAATCACCGATTGGGAAATAAATATATCATGCCACATGTTTGCAATGAACAAAGTCAATTTTTCAGACTCTGGAAAATCTATGAGAAAAAAGACAATAAACCTTTATGTCTGACCAAGTGAATAAATTACAAGCTAAGAATACATTTTAATAATTTCTTTTTTCTTTTTTAAGATTTTATTTTATTTTATTCATGAGAGACACAGAGAGAGGCAGGCTCCTCAAAGGGAGGCCGACACAGGACCCGATCCCGGGACTGAGATCATGCCCTGAGCCAAAGGCAGACACCCAACCACTAAGCCACCCAGGCGTCCCCACATTTTAATAATTTCACTAGTGCCTTGTAAGGCCTCCTAACACTGAAGGGAGGTGCCTGATGAGGCCCTGCTTCTTTCTCCCACAACTCCTTCCCTTTAGCAAACCCTCCTTAATTAAAATTGAAACATAATACCCCAGATATACACCACTGTATTATGAAAAGAGCCACAGAATTCAAAATGTGAAGTAAAGGCAAACTTAGCTCTTCAGACTTCCACAAACCTAGAACCTTCCCATTTGTGAAGTGTCATTTCAGGCTATTTTTTATGCATCTGTAAGAACTCACCTGTGAAACACAGAAAAGGCTTTTGATTTGAAGAGATGTTTATATACATTATGGATGACAGTCTTCTACTGTAAATGTTCTTTCCTACATTTGGCTTTGTTTGTTTGATAGACCTAACCCACATGCAGCTCACATACAGTCTGATGAATTTTGATGAATGAGTATGTCCATGTCACCCCCACCACAAGCAATACATAAAATATTTCCATCCTCCCAAATTCCTGTGGTCTAACCCACCCAGGGCATCACTTCACCCCAGATACAGACAACCCTGATCTGCTCACTGCCACCATAATTTAGCTGCCTTTCCTCAAATGCTTTCAGATAGCATGTGCTCTCTTTTGTCTGGCTCCCTGACTAAGCAGAGTGTTTCTACGACTCACCCATGTTGCCACACATATCTGGAGTCCCTCATGTTGTGTGGCTAACTAGTATTCAACTGACTGATAGCACATATCAATCAGTTGAATGTTCTCCTCTCACCCACTGATGGATGTCTATCTCCAGCTCTGGGCTGCTGCCAATGAAAATGCCGTGTCTCAGTACCAGTCTAGGTGAGAGTATGTCTCTACTTGGGTTAGCTAAGGGCCTACGAGGGGGATTTCTGGGTCATTCAATAAGTGAATATTTTTATAAGAAACTGTCAGTGTTTTGCAACATGGCTGTGCCAGGCAACACAGATTTTTACCCTGTTTGGCATGAAGTCAGGTCTTGTGTTTAAAGAATGACTATGTCAAAGCAGTAGCTCACTGTGCAATTCTGAGCTGTGATTTCTGAGATCTGGGGTCTGTGTGGTACTATGTCCTCCCACCCCAGGGCCTCTCCACGTGCTGCTTCATTTGCCTGGCATCTTCTCTCTCACTTTCTTGTAGGCACTTATTGGCATCTTCATACCTCAAGTTCAGAAGCCACTGACAAGGAAAGCTTCTCTACCCCAGAGACTCTCACAAATCCCCTTCCACAGCACAGTCCCTTACACAACAGATCCTCAATGACTACATATAATGCATTTTTTCTGGGGAGACGAGAGAAACAAAATCTCTGCCCTTACCGAGCACACACTCTAGTGGAGGAGAAACTGCAAACAGAAGGGTTCAGGATACAAGGTAAAGGGGCATAAGCACCATGAAGGAAAAGCCAGGAGGGTGCAGGATAAAAATGACTGTGGGAACCCATGAACTACTGTGAGCCCCGAAATGTGAAGGTCAGCTTCCCCATGGAGAGACCTGCGGCCCATGAGCCTGACAGGAGAGTGGGCTGGTGGCGTTTGACAAGAACAGAACCTCAGTGAGGGCCCAGCAGAGTCCATGCTGCTCACCTTGCTACTGCTCACCTCCAAGGAGCCCCACGTGCACAGTGTCATACGACCAGCAAACAAAGGCCCCGCTACACAGACGTGTCTGCATCTGGTTCTGGTCGCTGTCCAGGCCTTAATGCCCAGCGTGCACCCTGTGAACTACTATTGAGTCCACCAATGACCGAAAGAATAAACAAAGAAAAGAAGAGGGCAACAGACGGCAGCCTCATTCATAGGTCTGCACACAATGGGCACATTGCATTACATGCTTTACAAGCCCTGTGAATACCACATTATTAGGATGAAAGACCTTCATCAAGAGAAGACTTTCTGATGTGAAATTAAATGCATTTGTGTATCATTTCCCTGTTTACAAAGGTTTCTACTGAGGATGTGCTTTTACGAAGGATGACTCCCGATCTGACCCGTTAGTGGGGATGGAGAGAGGGGAAGGGAGATGGGGATCCCAGGAGAGCCCTCCGTCCACCTCTCTCTGCTCCTCTTTTCGCTGTGGGCTCACTGCTCTATTTTAGGGTTTCTGCCTTTTCCAGCCAGTGACACCGCAGTGTGGTCTGTCACTGACTTTACATTCAGTCCCTTACGCTATGTGGCCTATCTCTGACTTTTCAGTAGCAGCACTAAGATGAGACAGGCGGTAATGAGAGATCCTCGATTATATACACAAGTGGAAACGTATGTGCTGATATGAGGAATTCTCCCATTGAAAACCAGGCACAGTTGGTACAGCTAGGCTCTTCATGTCCTCTAGTAAATGCACAAACATTAACATGATTTTAAAAGATACACAGCAATGACTTAGCTGCAAATACAGGTCTCCCAGTATAATAATGAGATAAAAAAGCATTAGTAGAATGCCAATACAGAAACGTCACTATCTAAACGTACCTTCCTTAAGTAGGCTGTAGCAAAACAAGCGAGCTCTTTCCAAGTCCCCAAGTTGCCGACAAATACCCACATACACTCTGCAGAGGGCATGAATGTAATTACGCTCCATAGATATCTTCTGAATTTTTAGTTCTGAGAGAATCGAGTGAAGCAAGCACTCAGCTAAATGCTGGATTGGGAGAAAAAAAAAAAAAGAAGAAAAGGCAATGTACACTGATTTCTTTTGCCTATTAGAGAATAGCTAAAAGCTACAAAATTAGGTATCTATTAGAACCATAAAACATGTACTGTATTAGCAAGTAGAGAGCAGTCACTGTGGCAAGCCATCTGCTTTACTCAGCCCAGTGAGCTTCCTCTCCCCTCCACTGTCCAGGTATGGGGGGCAAGAGGACCAAAGCAGGAGGCTGCCTGCAGGTGCTCGAGGCCATGTCCAAACACGCCTGCCTCCTTACAGTCGCTGCCACAACTCCAACCAAGTATACACTTTCTTGGTTTTAGCCAAAATAATTCTGTGTATGTGTATCACACCCACTCAGATTCTTCTCCCACTGTTTTCTGAACTCCGATGTGGCCTATACACATTTATCCTGTTTAGATCTTAAAAATAATGGGCAACATTCTTCCTACTTAGAAAGAAGGGAATTAAATAATTTGATCCATTTGTTCATATGAAAATAAGTATCTTTTCAAAGCAGTTTGTACTACTCTCTATTCTTTGCCAAAGTAGGTAATCTAAGAAAAATACACACTATTTCTACCATTATGACTCCAAGGATCTGCAGACAACCAATAGAGCAGGATCCATGGGGCACTGAAAATAATCCACACAAGGTGTCGACATACTTGGAAAATATAACCTTGTAGAAGTCCTAATAACCCATGTATGTGGACCTGCACAATCCTCCCACTTTAACTGTCCCTATCTTGAAGCCAGCATCTGTTCCGGTTTCATTGTAACATTCATTAAAGGAGGGACGGGGGAAACCCCAGGCTCTCTTTCTGGAAGACACTCAGACTCCCAAATGTGTATGCACTATTCACGGAAAAGAAAGAATCTATTATGGGAGAATAATTCCATGCTTTGAAGCAAATCATTTTGAGCCTTTAAACATGCCAGAATTGATGGGAAATATACAACTGTAGTCCTGACAGATACTTTTATGTCTTCAAATTTTAAGCTATTTGATGAATACAAATTATCAAATCGCCAGTGTCTTATCACATCTAAAGTGTACAAGATGCTACCTAGAAACGAAGTATAGATCACATTTGTATGGATAACTGCTGATCTCTGAAATGAAATTTCTGTTCAGGGTAATCTACCACTTTGCTAAAAGCAGACATCTTGTGTCTCAGGACATGCAATTCCTAACGCATTTAAAGAAAAGCAGTCACATACCTTTTTGGTTGTGCTAAATTCATAAACAACTTCCTTTTCTTGATCTCTCATTACGGGCTTTTTGGAGATGTTTCCCACATAGACGTGACTCCGAATGACAGGTAAGAGATCAAAAGACGACTCTGCGATCTTCTTCAGTGCATCAGCTATGGCTTTGTCGTGAGACTCTACAGTTTCTTTTGGGTTTGGAGGCAACTGTGAAACCGTACTGACAGTCAATAGAGAACTTTCTTCCTCTGTTGTCATGCCTTCAGCTTGAGAGGGGTTCCTCCGAGGGGGCTTGCTGGCGACTTCTGCAGGGGCACCCCCCATCTCTGGTTCTGGGGACCCACTGTCCAGCCGCAATCTTTTGGCACTCCTCGGTGTGGATGTGGACAACGTCCTTTTCACACCTGCATCCTGGCGAGTCCCCCCATCTCTGCACTTATCTTGATGACAGTCACTCCCTGCGCTGCCCCCCGTCTTAACAAAGGCGGTCGAGGTCGATGTGATTGCCTTGAATCCTGTTATGGCGCTGACCGGCCCTGGTAAGTTCTTAAGGTCCGCAGGTGTACCTCGAGTAAGCTGGATATTTCCTTTGAGGATGTTGAGGGTGCGGGCCCTAGCAGACAACTCTGGGTACATGGTGTCAAGGATTTTAACGGAGTTTTCCTGGGGTCCGGCCACAGCAGTGTGTGCAGATGCCAAGGTGGGGAGGCGGCCAGGCACAGGGAGAGCGTGCTTTGGGGTTGCAGCACAAAACTGCAAGGGTGACGACAATATCCTCTCACCCGCTGGTGCGGTGGATGGGGACGGGGATGTGCATGGGGGAGAGGGGCAGCCCGGCTCTTCCGGCAAAGGAGACATCATTGGAGGCACTGGGATTTCACATAAGGGGGACATCTGGCCAATAGGAGAAGTAGGTGAGGAGGGAGAGGAAGCTGCTATCAGAGGAGAAACTGGTTGCGAAGTCCTTGGAGGTGTAGCGACCAAAGGAGCGAGCAAGGGTGGCAGGGGGGGCCCCACCTCTTGCCGGATTTTACTCAGAGTATCAGAACAGTCTGTAGGCGTCGACGTGTCAGCATTGGCTAGGATGGTCTGCGTCTGAGTTCTCAGAGTTTTGGTGTTCTCTCTTTCCCCTGAAAACGACGGAGAACCTTCACTCTGAGTAGTTTCAACTCGGCTTGATGCCAATGCCTTTGCTGGCTTGTTTGACGGCTCTTTGTTTGAAATCTTCGATCGATTCTTATTTTTGCTGAATGGCTCTAGTTTTGAGTTAAAGTATGTGTGATCAGATGCAACAGGCTGAGACTCAAAATTCTGATCGTAGATTTCAGAACTAATCCTCACACTAGGTTTGACAGGCCTGTTGCGCAAACGACTCTTATCAAAGTTGGTGCTCTGGCTGCTGCTAGAAATCTCCTCTTGGGCACAGGACAGGCTGCTACCGCACTGGGGCTCCTGAAATGGAGGGTCAGGGGGCTCGGTCTCTGGGGACTTCTCTATGGAAGTAATGGAAATGAAGCCAGATCCCAGGCCTCCCCGATCTGGGGAAACAGGGATGTCTTCGGGAGTGTCACACAGTATGACCTGGTCCACATTTGGCATGAGAGCTACCCCATTTATGATGGTCCAGTGGTCCCCCTTCTCAATGACAAGATTCTGATCCTTATTGATCAGAACGTTTATAACTTCAGAGGTCACTGTTGATATCTGACACTGAAATGTTTCTGTCCCATCCTCGGCATTGCCCTCGGTGGTCGGCCCTGCCGCAGAGTCAGAACGCTGGGGTGAGGGCTCTGCCGGTTCTGACATAACCTCTGCCCCACCGCAAACTGGGCTGGTGACCTCGGGATCTCCTTTAGGACTGCCCAGAGTGACTTTGTTACTCGAGGTGCTGCTGGCAGGTGAATGGCCCTTGCTGGCCATGCCGGCTGGAGGCGACGTACCTGAAGGGTGTGGCGGGAAGCCAGTCGCCTCCTGAGGTGGGGCATGTTCTCTGACAGGGGTAGCCGTCACACTGTCGTGCATATTTAAGAGCAGTAAACTACCAGCATCTTTGCCAGGAGAGCTTCCACAGCTGGTCTGAAGCTCCTGTCCAATCCTGGTGAGGACCTCGGACAGCGTTTCCAGGGACTGCCGGGTGAGCTGACTTGTGCTCAAGGGACCGTCATCCTCCTCGGATTCAATCCACTCTTCGGAGGTTCCAAGTGTTTCTTCTTCGCAGAGCTGCTTTCTGTATTTTTCTCCTGATAGTTCACCTGTCTTTAAATCTTTGTTCATTTCTTTATTGAGGGTTCCTTTGCTAGAACATTCTGACACAGAGTCCCCTGAGCTATAATCTCTTAACTGACAACTTTCAAGAAACATCACGACTTCTGATGTGGAGAGTCCATCGATCTCTGACAGGGTACTGATGTTGAAATCCTGCAGCGCTGAGGTCAGACACCCCACCTCGACGGAAGGCCTGGGCTCGGCTGTACCAGCACCTGGACCTCCTAAACCTTTTCTGGAGGCAAAGGCCATCCTCTGTTGTCTGTCCCCCATTGCAGCCTCGGGCTCACTCTCCCCCTCACTGCAGCTAGGTGCCTCACTCTCCTCCACTTCTGTGTCACCGCCTCCTGTCTCCCGAATGCCAGTGTAACACAGGGCCCCAGCGAGGCCACCCAAGGGGACAGCATGTGTCTCTTCATCTTTTCTGAGAATTGTGCATGGAAGAACAGTCCCTGCAGTGCCTGCATCTTGAGAAGCACCACCAAGAGTCTGAGATGGCAGCTCCGGTGGCTCCTTCAGGCTCTGCCGGACACGAGGAGCATCTTCTGGGACGGCCAGGGCCTCCCCACTAGATCTGCCCGGGCCCCCATAGGCTACATTGTCAGCAGGAAAGCTTCTAGACACTGGCACTTCTGCGGGTGGAGGAGGTCCATCTGCATGTGGCCCAGATGAGTCCAGATCTGTGGCATGAAGGAGCAAACTTTGCTTTCGTGCTGCTTCCTGCGCTGAGGCTTCCATCATGATGCTTTGGCTTTGGACTGGGATGTTTTCAGAAGAGAAAGACAGTTTGCTATTTGTGGAACAGTGAGAAATTCCTACTGGTAAAGAATCACTAGGAAAACTAAATGCTAATTTTCTCCATGAGGCAGAAACTTGCGGTGAGGTCCCTTCAGTAGCAGCCACCCCCTGGGCACTCTGTGCCGTGTCCTCTCTTTCTCTGGCACATCCGGCAACAGAGGCTGTGGGAGCAGCCCCAGGACTGGCATGTGCTGCTGTGAAGACAGGCTCAGTCCTCTGCCGCCCCCAGGGCTCCCATCTAGTGCTGGACACCACCTCGGGCCTGGCCTGCTTGGTGATCACTGACACTTGGTTAGGCAACAGAGATGCAGTAGCTCTGAGCGCCACAGGGTTATTTTCTCCAGCATGTTCATGCCTGGGTGTGGATCCTCTACTTTCTAAGGATGGCACTGCCTTTTGTACCTGATGGTTAGTCTTCTGTTCATGTTCTGACTTAGCTCTCAGCCTTTCTTCCCCACCTCTCCTTAACAGATCAGTATGGTGCCACGAAGGGCTTTTAACAAAACCAAATCCACTCTTGGTCAAGCTGCACTGAGACTCTAGCAATGGTGTGGAATCCGCCCGAGTGAGGGGGAGCTCAGTTCTGGGGCCCTGACTTCCACACTGTGCCTCTTTCATAGCTTTTATAAATACTGACTGTGGAAGCGAACAGACTTTGGGCATGCCTTTCACGACGTTTGTGCACTCGACCTCACTGCTACTCTGATTAAAATTTGATGTTCCCAACTCAGGGCTCAAAGCACACAAGCTATTCTCCAGATGGTTCTCTCTGGCAGGACACTCTGGGGGCTCAGGCTGCAGATCTAGCACATTCAGGGTTTCAGCTTGTAACTTTTGTTCAGAGTGATGCAGTTCCAGGGGGCTAACTTGGGCAGGAATGTGCAGATCATGAGCATACTTGACAGTAGAGGAAGACGGGGAGCCACTGCAGACAGACGATGTTCCCGAGGTAGAAGAGGAAGAAAGCCTGGCATCAATGCCAAGCCCTGTGGCACCCACCACGTCACCTGTATCGTCCTCTGGTTCAGGTGATGCTCCTAAAACAAACCCTGGAACATCCCTCTCCTTTCCCAGTACTCTACACATTCCCTGAAAATGGTCAGAAATGGACATATGATCCGATTCCAGAGGGATATCATTACTTAGTGTCCACCTAGTAAATTGTGATTTGGGTGATCCTATCATTTCAGATAGTAGGGTTTCTCCTTCAGATTCTGTGAGCTCACTGAATGGCCTCTTGCCAAGTGAGGAAGAACACACGTCAGACTTCTGGGGGGCTGCTCCCCTGCCCTGTGCCCGGCTGCCAGACAACATCTCCACACACACGTTTCTGATAGGTTCGTGAAGTGTGTTCTCTGTCTGCACCGACTTATCCACCTCCTTAACCTCTCTCTGTCTCTGTGCTTCATCTAAAATGCCTCTTCTCCCACCACTAGTGGATTCAGAGGACACCATCCAATGTTTCTCATGAGCTAAGGAGTATGTGGCTGAAGGCTGAAGTGTTGCTGTAAATGTCCCAAACCCAACAGTTGTCACTTCGTTGACTTCCAATGTAGTTAGGGCTTGGCTGGCTTCATGTGATTTCAGCTTTTCCTCCCAGGTACCACTACTTCCTTTACTTTTTCTGGACGAACCAAAATACTGTGATCCAGACGTCTCATCTTCTGAAACAGACTCAGGAGAATTTCTATTATGGGACGATTCGTTATCACTGGAATCTGTATACTCTCCAAAGTAGGTTTCCTTAAAAATGAATAAATTATTCTTATTAGTTAAATATTAATCAAACCAACTAAACATACCCATCTATCAAATGCATTGAAAAAGTAATTCTTGTTAAATACTAATTGAACTGACTCCGCATAACCACCAATTAAATGCATTCCTAAAGAATCCTTGAAAATACATCTGAGGAGAGGGTAGTTCCCCGTCTGAAACCCACTGGTGGGTAGGTAAGGTGCAGTCTGAGCACAAAGTTGCCTTGCCTTTGCCCTGAGTGGTCTGCCCGAGTTGCCGTCACTCTGACCACTCGCTCCTCCCACAACAGACCTAGGACTATTCTCCAAAGGGCCAGACATTCCTACTCTCTCCAGCAATTCCTCCCCATTTCCTGGCATGAAAGGTGTCCAACTCTGGAGGCAGAGCCTTTAGTCCTCCTGCTTCCAGGCCACTCCTCTGCAGGTGTCCAGCTCCAGCCCAGCAGGACTGGCCACCACTTCGGGTGACATCCTGTAGATATCTTGTACCTACAGTTCCTCATGCCTAGGCTGCATCTGGGATGCTCCTACCAAGTGGACAGACTCTGCTTCTTTCAATAGTATGCACACAGACACTGCTCCTTCCCACAGCCTGCTCTCCATCTCTGCTCCAGAAGGCCCCTGGATAGCCCCTGCGGTCTTGGCAGAAATGCCCCCATTACACAGCCCACCAAAAGAGCTAGCCTCTCCACTGTCTGGCCCTGTTCCATGAGGGAGACAGGGGACTGGTGAGTAACAGAGTTCATGTACACTTGCTCCTACTAACAAAATGCTTTCCTCCCCTGAGTTCTTGGGCTCCCTCCATTGTCCTGTCACTTGTTTTTGACCTCCTCTCCTCTCCTCTCCTCCTATGTAGTCACATACAGGTTGACAGGTCCCCAGGATTCCATTTGGAACCTCATTCTCTTCTACACACCTGCACTCAGCAACCTCAAGTCCCATGGCATCTGTTACACCCAAACACTACAGTGCTCTTCTGTCTGGGCCCACCAGGGCCTCCTTCTGAGCGCCATGCCCGTGGGTCTACAATCCAACTGCGTGCCCCCTTTGAGGCCCTATGCATACCCTGGATCTACATCTGACACAGCACCCTCCCATCCACGCAGGGCTTCCTTTCTTTGCTACTTTCCAGCATCCCTGACTCCTCCACCTCCCTAACCATCACACTGAAAACCTTGCCAAATGCTGCTCATTCACCCTCAGCATTTCTCAAAAGAGCCCCACCTTCTGAACCCCAGTGCTGTTGCAGGAATGAGGTGTCAAGAACACTGGAAGCTGCTGATTAAGTCGGTGATTGTTCCCTCTATGCTCTCGCCTCTGCCAGACTATCCCCACTCCCTACTTGATCACACAGCAGCTAAATGGAAACTTGCAATTGAAAATTTATCATTAAGTCCCCTTCTCAGGATCCACCAAGGACTTCCTCCTGCCTTAGAATAAAATAGAAAGTCCTAAGGGACACAGACAGCCCTTGCAGACCTGGTAAGGGTGGACATTCTCTGGCACAAGCTCAAGTCCAGTTGCATGACCCTGTGTAAAAAGCATCTCCACCTGAAACAGCCCTGCCCTCTGAACACTGAGCTGGGTCCTGTCTTCCCAGAGCATCCCTGTTCTCCCTGGCCTCCCTCTAAATCCACCCTCTGGCGTGGGTCCTCTCTAGCAGGTGTGCTTCCCCAGCCTGGCAGTTTCTACCATGGCTGTGCAATCAACTGCTCCCTATCCCGCCCAAATGCCACACAAGATCCAGCCAAGTGGTAACCATGGCCTATGTCAAGGCCCTATGGAATAGAACAGCCATGTCCCCAGGCCCAGCACAGTCCCTAGAACAGAACAGACATGCACTGCTTCCTTAAAGGGAGTGACTCAAAAGAGCAATGCGTTTATCTGCTCCTTAAGCCAAAAAGCATACAAACTTGCTTCATCAAGACTAACTTTCTAAGAATTTACAATAAACCATTCTACAAACACACCAAAAGATGATGAATTCATCAAGTGAAAGTAGGGAGTTTGGCCAACATAGGTTAATGGGCCTGCATGCTACATACATGGATTCCCCATCTCCAGAAAACCCCATGCCCACAAACATGCACTTAAATCATTCACTGGGTGAGGGGCCAGGCAGTCTTTCCACAGGGGACTTAGAATTGGACTATGGATAAAGACATGCAGAATGCCACCATAACACAAAGTGAAAATGTCCTATGATCCACATTGATCCAAAGAGCGCTAGCAGGCCCCATTATATTCTCACATTCATCCCCAGTAAAATCTGGCCTGTGTATCACTGAGCAGCACCACTCCCTGGGTATGCCTAACATGTCAGGATTGCCAACTCACGGGTGCGAGCGAAGAAGGTAAAGTGCTCAGGGGTGGTAAGGATACCAGAGGGGGGGATGGCACGGGAGACAAGAGTGGAGGTGGGCGTCTGAAGAAGTCAACTGCAGCCTGGAGATCTTCATCGAAACAGGCATCCCGTTCAGAGAAGTCAGTAATGTCCTCGTCATTCCGGGGCACTGGAAGCTCCGGGTGCCGGCCCTCATTAGAAACGTGGTCATCATGGTGAGCGGGTCCACCAGGCCCCTCTTTCCCCACATGCCTACATGCAGAGAAGTCACCCTCTATCTCCATGGACAGTTCCGCCAGGCATGTCTGCAGAGGTGCGGCTTTCAGAGGCCTGCTGCCCGCTGGAGGGGGTGCACCATCGTCCTGGGACTCCGTGGGCCCGGGGGTCTCTTTGGCAGGTTTCTCTATAGAAGAGAAAAGTAAATACCAAACATCCAGAATATCGAGAAAACTTAAAAAAATTATTCAAACTGTTCAATATGCTTGCTTTATTGAATAAATCCAAATAAGCAGAAACATTTTTGAAAAGGCAACCAATCCCTTCCTACAGATTATCCTGTAAGGCCTGAACACACTTCCTGTAGGTTCACCTCCCTCACAACAAGCAGGACAGGAAGGCAGACAGGCAGATGGAGGTGAGGCCTGGGGCCCAGGGGCAGCAAGGCACAGGGGCAGAAAAGCATGGCGATGGTGGGAACAGGCTTGCACAGCATGCTCCTTCTGTCAGCAACTATCTGTCCATACAACCAGCAGCATTAGGAGACACAGCTTTGTGCAGAGCCTGACAGGGAACACAATTTCCTCTGAAAAGCAATCAAACATCAGTCAATGTTAAGCCTACCCAATAACCATACTCGTACAATGCTCAAATTATGGGACTCGACGCAAGTCACGCACAACCTTTGTATTACCAAGCAATACGAAAACTATTGGAAAAAGCCAGTGGTCGGGGGGCGGGGGGAGGGGGGTGTCTCAATTTTGGTGAACTGCAATGGTGTGAATTGTCAGTGAAGATATTTGGGTCCTGGGAAATAACTGGAAATGACCATTTGTCATACCTGAAAGCTTCAAAAATATGTTTTACATAAGGACTCAAGACTCCCTGGTGACGTGACTGACAACTGGGCCTGAAATATCTTGCAGAGGCAGAAAGAAGTTCTCAAAACAGGTTGGGGTATGCCTCAAGGGCCCAGGAGTCAACCTGAAGATGGTGCCAATAACCAAAGCTGGACCAATCTAAACGATGAAATAAAGAATGGCAGTTATGAATTATAATGCACAAAAGAAAGAACTCCAATTAATTAATGTAGAAGGAATGAGAGAAATACAAAATCACTATTAGACTAAGTAGTAATCATGGCACACAGGCTTTGTCAGTGGCTGCTAAAATCAGTGGGCTAGATCAGGAGAGAGAGAGACTATGTGCAGTACCAAGAGTCTCTCTCAAGATAATTCATGGTAATGTTAACGATGAAGCCACCAGGCAGACTGCCTCGAACAAGCAGTCCCACCGCCACCTTGTGTCATCCATCCCCCCAAACCGCTCCCAGAACAGAGCACAAGGGCATTACTGTGGAGTTCTTGCTGTAAATACAGTCTTCACCTAAATGAGAAAACAGCACACAAGGCAAAACTGACAGGCTTCCTACAAAGCTTCCTCTCTGCAAAGTGGGAAAGACATGGGACAAAGTGACACAGAGGAACTGCCAAACTGGGGGCACGACATGTAACAGGGGGTCCAGGGAATAACACACAACTGGAGACAGCCACGTGAGTTTTGGCTTGGTTAACAGTCTTATGCCAAGGGTTAAATTCAGGGAATCTGGATGAGAAGTCTAAGGGAATTCTCTGCACAGTTTATGTAAAATTTCTCATATAAAAACAAAAAAATTTTTTTAAAAAGTATGTTTTAAGATTGAAGATTTCAAAGATGTCATGTTTTTTTCCTTTCTACTTGAAAAAGTTAACATTATGCAATACGCTTATCCCTCAAAATAGTTTGTTTTAAATAAAAACATGAAATTACTAAATGGAAAGCCTTTTTCACACCTTGAACAACATGAAGCGCTCAGGATAAATATGACTACTAAGGCACTGATGCGGGCTAAGAGGAGCCCAGGCTGCTTCTCCCTGAACAGACCAATACACAGGCTGTGAGTGCAGAGGCTGGCTCAGGAGACGCAGGCACCCCCTACCCCCTGCCTGGATCAACAGTGCCCCATGCAGCACGTGACAACTGACCCAACAGACCTCTCTCCACATCACAAAACTTCATGAGCTCTCAGTCAAGCACAAGTGAGAATCAGCAACTTGCCTGGTAACAGTTTTCTGAGGAAACTCTGCCTTCAGAAGCCTATGGGAAAAACCGGTACACATCTCTACAGATTTAGATTCTTAATGATCTGTGAATTCAATGCAGCTCATCATAAGAAACCAGTTATGTGGAAAAAAAAAAAAAGTAAGGAGCACTTTGATATCTTATGCAGGACAGCAGGACAGCTACCTTTCCCTATCCACTCTGGGGGACTAACATCGATTTCCAAATCTTAAATTCCCAGTAGAGTATAACTGAGAGCACGACAGAAGGTGCCACAGCTCTGCCTACAGACCAAGAGAGCCCACAGATGAAGTCAAATCTGAAAATGTGTCAGCGGATGGTGCTGCAGAGTAATAACCTGACGTGACAGCATGAAAGGAAACCGTTTCTTATGGGACAACACCAGTGTTCTTCAGGAGACCGTGAACGTGCAGTAGATCGGCTGCCAACAGTTCAACCAAAGGAATGAGGAAGTTACAGAAGTAACTTCAGCCAGGATGGATGAATGATGGGTGGATGACACTCATGAAATGATTCAGAAAACATCGAAAGCCTCCCCATCCTCTGCGTGTTCCTGCCCCACACGCCCCACTGTGAGTCTCACCAGCTTCTTCACATGTCCTCTGATGAAAGCTGCCCTTGCAGAAGAGACTAGAAGCCAGCTGAAGGGAAAGAAGCCCTGTAACTGAAAGTACTCGTTCTAGTTTACTTCACTCTTTCAACGTCAGATTCAAGACACAGGAGAAGCTAGAGGTATATAATGCCCCTGGTAAGCATTTCTACTTTCATGTATGAAATGTTCTTCTTGAAGCTTCTCTCTCACCTATGACACATCTGCTGCCTTCGCCAGGTAGTCTGTGTGTGGTATTGATGCAGAGCCAGAGTTCCTTCAGGAGTAGTTTTACCTTTCCTATGAAAGAGAGTAAGATATTAAAGACATGCCATTTAGCTCTATCTACACACAAGGACAAAACATACACCTGAGAAATCAGGACTTCTGAGGGGCTGGGCAGACAGCTAGGCACTGAGGCTTCTTCCCCAAATTCAAGCACCATCTGTAACTAGCTAAGCTGTGGACAGGAAGGCCTGAGAGGCTCCAGCTGAACACTCAAGGCTGAACATGGGCTTGTTTTTGTTTTGTTTTGTTTTGTTTTGTTTTCCCAGGGGTGAGGGGACTAGGAGGGCCCAGGACTCAAAAGACCAAATCTACTTGCTGGTCAAGGTCTTTATCATCTTTTTGTATGTATGAACTAACACCCATCCTTGGCACTTTCTAAAGAAAGTGGTAAGAGATGAGGGACAGAAGCACCAATATAATGACCGATATAAAAGATGCTATGCTGGCTCTGTGTTTACAACGAACAACAGCAGAGAGGCACACTTCAGTAACATGAGGGTGTCAGAAAACCCATCAGAATTGACCATGCTGGGGTGCCTGGCTGGCTCAGCCAGTAGAGCGTGCAACTAGTGATCTGGCAGTTGTAAGTTCAAGCCCCACAGTGGGTGCAGAGATAACTTTTAAAATCTTAAGGAAAAAAAAAAATAAAAAGGAATTGGCCGTGCTGTAACTAACCTGGGGGTTTTGTGGATAATAGAAAATCCGTAATAGTCTTAAACGGTAACAGGGAGGGAGACAAAAATATGGGTGTATAAACACTTAGAAAGGAAGAGACCATCACACAAATGAGCAGACTTGGAGAAGCACATACTTTTAGAAGGAAAGTGAAAGCACTGGAATTTTTATAAATTTTCAAAGGGGTCAGGATTCCTACAATAGTTAAGAATCATTGGTTCAGGTTGAAAGGTACACATTTCTACAGATCTGGATCCTCAATAATCTGTGAATTCAGATTGTCGTAACTAAGACAGACCTAATAAAGTTCATATAACATTAAGAATATGATACTATGGTTTTAAAGTGAGCTTAACATTTATATATATATACTATATATATAATATACATATATATAATACATATAATATACATATATAATATATATATATTCCCTAAAATCTCCCAGAGTAAAAAAATATTCATAAAAATTTAAGTATGACTAGCTTGTGGTCAAATGTGCATGAAAAGACCAGCCACACTAATAAAAATTCAACTAAAAATAAGCTATAAGTATTAGGTAATTTCAGGCCATCTCCAGTTCTATTACAGTTTCCTTGCCGTTCTACTTAGCCTGAAGCATTGGTTGAAAATACTGAAATCTTTAATCCAGTTTTAGAAAGGATAAAAGACCAACCTTTTAACCCAAAATATCTCTAGGAACTCAACTCTGAAATAGGTCAACCCTATTTAGGCTGGCAAACTCATCACTACAAAGAGCAGACCAGGATAAATGGTGAGGAGGACATAGTAACAGGCAAGCTCTCCTGAGACCAATCAACTTCTGTCACTGTGTATGAGGCACAGCCATTCTTGAGATCCAAAATTCTATGATCAAGTAACTTATCTACATTGTGATTTAACCTACCCAAAAGCCTGCTTCCAAATACTGTAATCCCCTTTGCTTAAATGACCTGACCAGGATCCCTGCTTATTACGTATACCCAAAGCAGCAAACAAGGAACCTTAAAAAAAGAGAGAGAAAGTTACTTTTCTATTCCTATGGAGGCTGTTAAGCAGAGCTATGCCTATTTTAACTGAGTACTCGTTCACTACTTCTAATCTGACAAATCAAAACAGAACTCTCCATTCCCAGTAGAGCTGGAAAAAACCCTTACAGGGGCTTCATTACTTGGCTGTGAAGAGAAAAGCTCATTAAGTCAAACTGCACGTCTTTCCCCAATCCTATAAAATCCTGTCTATATCAGAATCTTAGGCCTCCGCAATCCTGTACTTGTGCTCCACTGATTTGTTAAGTGCCACACGAACAGCATGCTTTCACCATACCGTCACAATTACGTTTTACCATCTGTGTGGGCAGGAGCTTTGCTCAGGTTTTTCCTTTCCAAAAACTTGATTATTCTGAGTATCTATTCTATCCTGATAAGCTTTTGCCATCTGCTTGTCCTTTCCTGTATAAAACACCGGCAGGATTTGAGTTAAGACTGAACTCCATAAATATATGTGGGGGAAATTCCCATCTTTTACACTACGAGCCTCTGATCCAGGAACAGTGTTCATTTACATGTTCTGGTCTTTCATGCTCTTCAGGAGCTTTACAGGCTTCCTCACAGAGGCCCAGCACACTGCTTATAGCTTTTTTCTCTGCTTAGACATGATGGTTCTGTCACCTAATGGGCTGTTCTCACCCAGACCCTATTCTGATAGGTTAATGATGGCACACTGGGTGTACTCACAGTATGTAACACCACTCTACCAAACTCCTGTACCTATTTTCCAGTTGAGTCTACAAAGACAGTCTCATCATTTGAAACTGGACAATTCTGACTCTTCCTTATCAGTATTTACAGCTCCTGCTATTTTGTGTTGGCTCTGCTGTACTGCGTAGGGCTCCCAGCGCATACAAAATGGAGGTAACAAAAAGCAGGTGTGTCTGCTTCTGAGTCATGACTAGGCTTTTCAGCTTTCACCTTTCTCAATTTCAAAATGTGAAATAAATAAATAAACGTGTTTTTCTATTACCTCACCCAATATTTTGTTTTTTATGAGGCACTGGTGCTGAATTGAGATGATCACGTTTTTCTCTTAACCAGTGGTTGTGGTTTTCGTGAGATAAATCCCTACATCATAATGTGTCTGTGTTCTCTATTACTACAAGACTAAAGTTTTCCAAATTCCATTTGGTATCTTTGCAACTATATATTCCTAAGTGACAGCGCTCTGAGTCCTGACGGTGTGCATGTGTCACACTTAGCTGGCTCTGGGGCCACTTGCGCTTGAGACAATGACATGGAATTGTTCTAAGACAAAATAACAATAAAGACTTTAGTTTTATTCACCACAACCCTTACAGAACTCATGTGTAAGTCCTTCAGATCTGGTATGGTGTTAGATCTTTATTAAAATTTCTTCTGTGTTACTTTAATGTTCAGGTTTCCAACAACTACCCCAAGCCAGTCTGAGCATGTTTTCCTTGAAAATGGTCCATTTCACAAACATGATCAGATCTGAACATGTGAATTCGGAAATTCTCGCACTGCGGCTTTTCCCTAAGCTTCCTCAGTCATGGTGCTTCTGTGCTTCTGTTCCTTCTTTCTTGATCAGACTTACTGAAAGGCTGTCAGTCGCAACAGCCCTGCAAAGATCCCGCTGTTTGTTTTAATGGCTGCCAAGATCAACTGCTTTGTCTATTTCATTAACTTAGGTTTTCTTCTTCATCAACCCGTTCTTTCCACTTTTCCCCAGTTTCTGTTGCATTTTCCTACTTTCCTGGCATTCCATTTCTATAGTTCTCCCTTTCTAAAATAATCACATAAGACCATTCATGCTTATGAATTCCATACTCTCAGAATCTCAGAGATTTCAATACTGCCCTACAGTCGATTATTTCAGTTTTTATGTTCTCTGCTATCCCAAGAGGAGTTGGTTTGTGTTAATGCATGATCACTTACCAGACGGGTTTGGAAAGTTGTGAAGTTTTGGGGAAACGGGAGAAGACAATCTTATTAATATCTTATTAAATATCAGAATCTTAATAATGTATTAGGCTGGAGTTTCTGCTGTCTAGTAGAGAGGCAGCTTTCATATATGTCTGAAAGTATTTTAGAGAATTCTAGGTTTATGATTTTGAAGAGTTAGATGTAAATCATCAATCCTGAAATCACAAATCCAATTCTACCTATTTTATCTGCTTTTATAAATCGCGGCCTTTAAGAAACATACTAAAGTCTCTCATGGAAACAATAGGACTATTCTAGAATTTCTAGGCATTTTACCTGACAGTTTCATGCTTTATGTCTATGACAGTAGCATCTTTATAGTGAATCGTACCTTTAATCAACCTGGATATTTCCTTTTTAATTCATGTAAATTCACTTCTAGGCTTGCATTACTTTTTGCCTAGTTACGACTTTCAAGTTAGCATTTGCTCAAAATTTCTCTATCCATCTCTCTACAATCTTTCCACTTCATTTAATTTTAAAAATGCTTCCTACTAACATGCCAGAAATGAAGATTGTACACAAAAACCACGTTCAACACCTGAAAGGCCTTTCTAATATAAATATTATGTGTGTGTCCTGCTCTGAGAAGTGTCCTTTACACATTTCTTGCTGATCTTCTCTTCTTAGGACTCTGTCCTAAGGGTGATCCTGATGGGTGATCACCGTGACATCTACGATTTTGTTTTTCATACTTGAGAACCCCACTGGGTCAATTTCATAGCAGCAGCTGATGCTCTAAGGACATTAACTCTATTCTTAGCACTTACTTCCATCCCATTCATGATTTAATACCATTTCTTCAGGGTTTTTCTCCTTGAGCTGGTGCCTTTCTTTCTCATGGCTGCTGCTTCTCAGTTTTCAACAAAAAGTTGAAGCAGGACACCTTTGAGAGCCATGTATACTTCTTTACCCTACATTCCTGACAATAAATGAAGGTTCTCATTTCATGGACCTATAGGACCCTGCCTTCGGAGGGAAGGGATGCAGAGTGAGGCAGTTTTGAGGATTTACACAGAGAATGTAGCATCTCATTTTCTTCAAACAGGAGTGGCTATCCTTCAAAGCAACTGTAACTACCCAATTTTCTGATTTTCTTATATCCACACTCATTCAGTGCCTCCTATGTTGTAAATGATACTTCACAGGACTAAATTTTGAGCCACAACGTGTGGACAAATGCCAGAAGCTGTTTCTGAAGGCTACACATTCTTCACTCGGAATCCGATACCTGGCAAACCACAAATGTCCTGCTCCATCTCCCACTCCCTATGCCTTTGATTTGAAAAAAATGTAGGGCTTCTACAATCAAACTTGCTTTCTGAGGCCTGCTATTTTCTCTAATTGTGGGTTTCATCACCAACTGATACCAACTGCTTTACGTGTTCTTCCACTGACAGTAAACTTTTTAACTCTAAAGGAGAATATTTTTTATTTACTGTCATCTCTCATGGAATTTAGAATGAAAGGCAAGTGTGTCATTCAGGTGGCCTTTTGAAAAAGTGCAGTAAACCCAGTACACTTTCTAACTTGTTAATTTCTTTCAGAAGTACACATGAGCTTTGAACATGGGGTCAAGGGCACTGATGCCCTGCACCACTGAAAATCTAAATGCAACTGCGACTCCCTTAAAACCTAGTTACTAACAGCCCAGTGTGAACCAGAAGCTCTCCTGATAGGCAATAATATCTTATACACTATATGCATCATATATTATATTCTTACAACGAAGTAAGCTAGAAGAAAGGAAATATTGTTAAAAAACGATAAGGAAAAGAAAATACATTCACAGTACTGCACACTGTATTTATAAAAGCAAACAAACAAAAAACCCAGATAGAAGTGGATTTGCGTGCAGTTCAAACCAGTGCTGCTAAAGGGTCACCTGTATCATGAGAGAAAAGTGTTAAAGATATATCTAGGCATTAGGAATTAAATCCCCCAAGGTCCACAGGTGAATAATTAACAAGTTCCCAGGGGATCCCTGGGTGCCTCAGCGGTTTAGCGCCTGCCTTTGGCACAGGGCTTGACTTGATCCTGGAGTCCCGGGATCGAGTCCCACATCGGGGTCTCGGCATGGAGCCTGCTTCTCCCTCTGCCTGTGTCTCTGCCTCCCTCTCTCTCTCTCTCTCTCTCTCTCTCTCTCTCATAAATAAATGAATGAATGAATGAATGAACGAATGAATGAATAAATAAATAAATAAATAAATCGATCTTAAAAAAAAAAAAAAAAAACAAGTTCCCAAAGACTTCACACCCTTATCTGGAAGAAGTTAAATGTATGAGAGACAGTACCCACCCACGCTAAGGGTAGATAAAACAGAATGCCAGGATAGAGAGCAACCATGGGGACGTGGTGGGAGGGTTCAGTTTTAAATAGTAGGTTTGAGAACAGTCAAATCCTAAAACAAATCCATCAGTCCAAAAGAGAAGATGATGAAAGCAGCAGCTGACTGTGGCTGGGAGAGCCAAGCTGGGTGAGCCCTCCACTCCTCTGGGCAGCTACCTACAACTCAGAGCCTGGCTCTACACACGGGCGACTGAGAAGAGTGCTGAAGCACATGTAACTATGTGGTAGCTACAGTCCCAGGCAAGGGAAAGGTGATAACTATTAAAGCCTTGAACCCAGGGAATGGTGATCTTGTGCTCAATTAAAAATCAAAGTAAAGGATGAAGAGACAAGGTAAAGGAGGCTTCTGAAAAGACACTATATTCTTGTGGGAAGGACGCAAGTGGTTTTAGTAGTCTCCATTTAGAGGAGAAATAATACAACAGTGACATGAAAATATCATTATTTACTTATTTATCATTTTAATTCCATCTCTACCAGGAAAGTGTGAGATATAAGTAGAGCAGAAATCCATAATCTTCTTTTTAAGAATGATGAACAAAACACAGAGAAATAAACGGTCAAGGATCACACAACTAATAAAGAGAAATATTATAGGAAAAACTTCAATTTCTCGGCATCCGGTGTTATGTCTCCTTACCTATGATAACACTCTGCTGATAAAATGAAGACTGCAATGTCTGATTACCCTTGCTCCAAGACTACTGTCTTACTATCCCTTATAACGCTTGGCCTTCCCTAAATTCTTCTGTCCAAAAATACACTATAGGGTCTTGACTCCAGCTTTCCTGCGTGACCTTAATAATTTTTATATATTTCACACCTAAGAAATTTTAGAGATTAATTTGGCAAATTGTAATCTAATAAAAAACTATACTTATTTATTTTAAAGTATGGAAATTATACCACAGGCTAGTCTTCCTTTCCCAAACAATACTGCTTTTCGATGCTTTCATTCACTGGATTATCTGATCAGAGAACACATACAATAGATCTGACAAAGACATAAAATGGGATAGGACTTCTCCAACACAAACATCTGCTAAACCCTAGAACTTCTGCAATTACAGGTAAGAGCAACAAACAACTTCCCAAGCCCCTGAAAGCAATGCACTGAAATTAAAAAGGAATCTGTGATATACTCACTTTTATCTATGCTTCCGTAGGAATCACTTGAAATTTGTGTTCCAATATGTCTCAACTCTAAAATATGGGAAAAACAGTTAATAAAGAATATTACATGTCAAAACAGAATTTTTAAGTAACCAGTAAGTGAATACTCACCCTTTTCATTTTTCTGTTTAGAAAATTCGTCGAGTCGTTCCTGTGGAAACAAAGTGCTGATGGTATTTGTAAGGGGCAGGGAGGACAGATGCCCCATACACAGTAAAGGGGGCAGCCCAGCGGTGGCGCAGACCACTGTCACCAGGTGGCCCCGTTCCTGACTCCTGCCTCAGGAGGATGCCAAAAGCCCCAAGGGGGCCAGGAGCGTCACCTGGGTGGACACTATTATATATTACCTGGGTCTTCTTAAATTCCTTTTCAAGTATTTTCTTTTCATTCCTCAGCTGCTTGAAGTCCTGTGTTTGCTTGACAGCAGCCTCTTTAAAGAGCACAGTGAAGAAAGACAACAATTTACCAACTTTAGTTACCATGAATGAAAAACTCCATAAATCATCTAAGGAGAGTTTTTCTCATTTCATAAAACTTTGAAACAAATCTTGTAAAAAGTTACTGTTCCTTCAATACTTCCTCAGTCAGGGACAAATGCAGGAACACTTTGTTTAAACTGTTATCTATAAAACCACAGACTTGGCAGAGGCTCCAAGATGCCTTTGCAATCCCTGCGCAGGGCAGCCTACGCCCTCTGGTCAGGCCAGAACCCAACACGCATGAACTTTCGAAAAGGAGGGGCACAGCTCCCCCTTACTCTTCAGCAATAAGCAATGTTCACGTTTCAGAGATTTCAGAACTCGGAATATAGTGAATACCATACTCTGTACTGGGGAGGAGGGACAATCTTCTCCATGTTGATTATCCTGTTACTTCTTCCTGGAATTCCCTTCCACAAGCTAATGGTTCTAGCTGCTGATACCTTGGTTCTAAATCTACTTTTAAGGTGTTGTCATTGGGACGCCTGGGTGGCTGGGACGCCTGGGTGGCTCAGTGATTTAGTGCCTGCCTTTGGCCCAGGACATGATCCTGGGGTACCAGGATCAAGTCCCACATCAGGCTCCCTGCGTGGAGCCTGCTCCTCCCTCTGCCTATGTCTCTGCCTCTCTCTCTCTCTGTATGTCTCTCATGAATAAATAAATAAAATCTTTAAAAAAAAAAAAAGGTGTTGTCATAGCTCTTCCCTGATTTTCAGTAAACTCTTCAGTCTGGTTTTTGGTTCTGAAGCACAAAGTCCAAATATATTATTAAGAATCTAACCAGCACTGACTTTACCCAAGTATGTTCACACACAACTGCCATGAAACTAAAATCCCATAAAGCACCATAGTAACGATCCTTTCCTGACTCCTCTCATGAGCTTGAGTATTTCTTTACCTGGTTGTTATGGCACATCACTCACTAGGGAAAAAAATTTTTGCCACATGGGAAATAAAGGCCACACTTCTCTTCAGAAGAAATCTGTTCTAAAAGCTACATATAGGCCGAAGTGCACAGGCATCTCAGATCTCTCTAAAACATTTCCTTAGATAGACACTTTTCTCCACACACCAGCAAGAGAAAGCCATACTTAAAAATTCAAGAACAGAGTCAGGTCATATTTACTGACATATTGTCAGTGTTTGTGCAAAAACCAACTCAGAGGAAAAAGTGAAAATATTTACAGAGTTTAAACCTAAAAACCTGGACTCAATCTAGGTAAAGTCATGAGTGAAAGTATTTTCATCAAATTCTCTTTTATATGCCCGATCCAACTAAATTTGAATTCTTATTTCACACTCTAAATGAAAAGTGAACCGTGGTCTGCAGCAGAGCACCATCAGCAAGGTGAGAAAGCCAAGAGCAGGCTCAGTAAGACGTGGCAGGAAGAGGCCCATTGCAGCCCCTGCGGGAATGAAAGGATGGATGTGCAGCACAGACGGCACCAGCAAAGCCCCATGGTCTCTCCCCAGTCTTGGTTATTTCCATGCCCCAATACCCAATGAAAAGGGGGGAAAAAAAAAAACCCAAGAAATGACCATGAGATCCATTCCCAGGAGGGCTATCAGCTGTCACATGAGGACGTACCTGATCCTGTTGTGGTCTCACTGTTCTCTGCTTATTCAGTGCAGACCAGAGGCCCATATTCAAACAGTGGGGTGGGGAGGGTCAGGGACACAGGGGTCATCCTCAATGCAGGCAATTTCTCACCACCTTTCCATGGATGTGTCATCACTATCTAAAAATATCAAGTTTTCTGGTACTAAATGGTAACTTTTCTTACTACTTAACCACTATTCTAGGAAAAAATGAGAATGCCCCATAATATCCAACTTTCAAAATTAAATCCTTTTACTGACTGCTACTTCTTAAGGTAAAAATATGGACTACAATTATTTTGAGTGTGCAACATTTCAACCACTTGCCACATGCCCTTCCCATATTCCTATCCAGGAACTGAGCCGAGTATTCAAACTCCTCCCTAAAGATGTCCTTAGCAAGGTCATTCAGGGTGCACCCTCGAAAATACAATGACTCAGCTACCAATAAGCCCTATGACACTGCAGTTACCAATGATCTATGTGAAGACCAATGACTTCCATTAGCTCAACAACAATAGTGCCAATTACCTTCCAACTTTTTCACCTTGGCTTCTAATTTCTTCTTCCTAATAAGACAATTTATGAATTAAAATAGTTAAAAAAAAATATATATATATATATATATATAAACACACACATATATGTAACAATCTGTGATACATCTTAATTAGTAAAATTTATATAAAATTTATATAACAAAAATTTATATAACAAATTTATATATACACCATTCAGTATGTAGTATTTCTAGAAAGAAATCTGTATTTTTCTGGCATGTCATATCTAGGAGTCTCCCTGAGCCACAGAAGCCTCATCTCTAGGACAAGCTGAGTATCCAGGGGGTCTCCCAGAACCAGTCCACCATCTGTGTCAGCAATGTTACTTTTGGGAGCATGGCATGGCGGTACTGCTCACAATTCCATTTTATGGAATGGAATGGAGGCAGAGGCCTGAAAGCTGCACCAGTTTCCAGACAGATTTCTGGGTCAGAGAAGGTAAGTAACTGAGAAAAAGCCTCTGAGGTACCACTACATCATGCCTACATTAGGCTACTGTGTGTGTAGCTCACAAGCTCTATGAATCATAGGACTATAATCTCCTGGATGTTTTCAAACGGCTCTTTTTATTAATGGTGACAAAGACATTCATTCCACAGGAGACCTGTTAAAGTCCTAGTACAGAGGAAGGAGCTGACAATCATGTTTGAAAACACACAGAGACCAGTGTGTGCATGCACATGTACAAACACTTTTACGGAATTCTTTCTTCGTGCAGCAATTTAGCATATCGAGACTTATCCATTTTCTTTATAATCCCTTGGGGGAGGTATAATTTCCGTTTTACAGACCTAGAGATTAAATATTGAGCGACTAACTAGTTTTAAGATCATAGTTAGGGCAGCCCGGGTGGCTCAGTGGTTTAACGCCGCCTTTAGTCCAGGGTGTGATCCTGGAGACCCAGGATCGAGTCCCATGTCGGACTCCCTGCATGGAGCCTGCTTCTCCCTCTGCCTGTGTCTCTGCCTCTCTCTCTCCGTGTCTCTCATGAATAAATAAATAAAATCTTAAAAAAAAAAAAAAAAAAAAAGATCATAGTTAGTTATAGCCCACAACCTAAAGACAGAGAGGAGAGAGACAGGACTGATTTAAGGACCAGCCATTTTCAGAAATGAAAATCGTATGTCCACAATCATTTTAGAACTTACTGAGCATCAGTTTTCAAGCATTCTTCTTTTACACGTGCATATTCCTGGTGAGTATCTTGGTACAACTTCAGAGAACTCTAAGAAAAAGATATCTATTGTCAATTTGAAAATCACTGACCATCAGTAAGAACTTACTTTGACCTTGATAAGTGAAATTACTACCACTTAACCCTAAGAAATCAACCAAATGAATACACATATTCGGCAGGAAACCAAAGAATCTTCTTTGAACGTTTGAACAGAGATAACCAGATCCCTAACAGATGTAACATGATTAATCTCATCAAACGAAGCTATGCAAATTAAAACATACTAATTTTAGGGCAACTCCAAATCTTTCTAAGAATAAACAGCCAGTATTTTTGCCCCAATCAGTTAAAATTCAACAAAATCTAAAAAAATTTTAGAGCTCAATAAATATAAGCTACCATTACTACTACAAAAAAATATAAAGCAAATCATCGTACGTAATAACTGGGAAAATGTGCTACCACCACTCAGCATACACATCCTGACGGCCACCATGGAATGGGAAAGAAGCTGTTGCTGAGTGCTGTATCCTATTACAATGTGTGCAAGATCGTAGAGCTTGGAGATGGATTTTATGGCCCCCTTTCACAGATGAGGGGTCTGAGGATCCATAAGCTGACTTATCTTTCTGAGGTCACAGAATGAGCATTTCTCTTTGGGTTCTGACTCTAGTGCTCACACTTCCTCTCAGATACAGCTGCCAAGATTGTTATATATTAGAGGCAGACAAAATTCGATGTTGCGGTTGTTTCTGTTTAACCTTCTTCGAGTAGTTCAATATATAATGGAGACTTCCAACAGAAGTAGGAACACCAAAAAAAAAAAAAAAGAAGTAGGAACACCAATCACTGCTGAAGTATATAAGAACCGCAATGGGTGCGCGGTATTCCTACAAGAGCACAAGTCCACAACTGACAGGCTAGGCCGCATTGTGAAAAGAGTTCAGAGAACACGCTGAGAAGCAGGCACTGTTCCAGCCTGGACAGGACACGTGGCAGGCAAGCCAACTTTTACTGGCCTCTGATGTACGTTATCTGTAAAAGCCATGAATTCTCTCCTAAGACCCCTGAAGAGTTAATTAAACCAAAGTTTTACTGAAAAACAAGTTTACAGCATTTTTTTTTAAGTTTACAGCATTTTTAAAAACTTTTACTGCAAGCTGATTTTGAAACAGAAAACATGATCTATCTTTAAGTTTAAATTTTTGCAGGTTATTTTACACTGAAAGCAAGACCAATAAGAAAAGGCAAACAACACAGGACACACAGAGTGCTAAAGATTCACAGCTAGAAGGTTCCTCTGCAGAACCTCAAAGAACGCAGAGGCAGCCCACACAGCATCACAGAGCTAGTCACTACTGTGAGGATCAAGCCATTAACCAACTAGTTCAGTGTCTCTAAATAGAGGAATATACTTAACAATTTTTGAGTATCCCTTGTTTCCTCTGTAAGACAGAAAATACTCCCTCATGCCAATGACAGTGAATAGCAGATCTTAATTTATGGAAGATAAACCTTTGTAGGAAAATTCCTATAGGTACCTTCTTCTCTTCTAGCTCTGCTTTTAAAGATCCCAATTCTTCCTGACATTTCTGCAGAGGAGAAATTTTTTGAAGCATCTGTTCCACTTGGTGATGCAGAGTACTATTCTCTCTAAAAATGGACAACACATTAGCATTATTATACAAAAGTATCTATAAATATACTATTTTTCTGTTTTCTCTAACTTGGAAAAAAAAGGAATAAAAGAATTTCTCTTTAAATGCATTCTATTTATACCAACATGATCTTCATACGGCTCTTTATTCTTTGACATTATAGTCTACTCTAATAAAACTATATGATAAACTACTTGAGAAGTAAGTAGATTCTCAATCTGATAGACAATATATGAAAGGACAATATGCCAAACAATTGGGTTTTTCCAACCTTGAACTCATCCCCATTTATTCAAATTAAATGACAGGCAATTTTGTGATCAGTTTATCACAATGTTTTGCCCTCTTCTAGGGGATGAATGTATTCAGAACATGAAACACTGCTAAATTTTCACTCCACTTTAAACTGTTTAAAATACACAAGATAACCACATTATTAAACAGTCCAATTCACATAGACAACAATCATTTGATTAACAATAAGCTTCATTTCAATGGCAACATCATCAGTAAAAGTAGTGAAGATACCATACACCAGGCTGTAATTTAAGACCTTGGTAAGAAATTCATTTGGATAATTTAATAGTAAGGAAAATCTTCTCTTATTATGACCATCAGAGTAACATTCTACATAATGAGTCAATCCTAAGTGGCACTATGATTGAGTCTGTTTCAAAACCTAGCCTGATAAATATCTACCCCCAAAACAATTATGAAGAGAGATAGCTTACCTTCTGGCAAACTGCAGCTGTAAAACTTGTTAAAGAAAACTCTCAGTTTTGCCTGATACTTGTCTGAAGATTAAACTCACTTTAAAATTACCTGTAATAATCTCTGTTCAACGTATATACACGCAAGATCACAATTCCTAGAAAACAATATTCCAAGGTCCATTTATATATAACATAGTGATAAAAATTTCACTAAGTTACTCAATTTACCATAACATGTACCTAACGTCAAAATGTCTACTTGTCTAAATTAAAATAGGTATTCAATTACCTCGATGATTAATACTGAATTCTAAGAATAAACACAAAGCAAAATCCAATATATGAATACTACCTTGGATCCTATAAATAACAAAATCCCCAAACAACCTACCCTGAATTTCTCAAATAGTCCAGAGCATAATTCCAGCAAACAAGAGTTAGGTACCTATGAGAACTATATACCACTATGCTCAATGAATAACGGGAAAAGAAACACAGGGAGAACATTAAACCTAGATGACCTCTAGCTTTTACAATTTACACACTATAACTTCATTTCTCAATTCATCATGCCAATGAAATGTTCTAGGACAGCAAAACAATGAGCTCTTTAAGTGTCACCTCCTAGAAGTTTCTATGCTTATACCATGAGGTGGCAGATGTCTATAGCAACATGCCTCCATCCTCCCCTGTCAGAATACAGACTTCTCTCCACATTAAGGACTATATTCACCCTAAGTTATCAGTCTTTGCAAAAAAAGATTGGTTCAAAAATACCTGATGAAATAAAATTACCTGTCCTTCCAAAAAAGGAAATAACAGAACAGTCAGAATTACACAAAAAGGTACGAAATCAAGGGGCCTGCCTGGCTCCATCAATTAAGCATCTGACTCCTGATTCGGCTCAGGTCATGTCAGGGTCTGGGATAGAGCCTTAGGTGGGGCTCCATGCTTAGTGGGGAGTCAGCCTGAGATTCTTCCTCTCCCTCTGCCCCTGCTCATGTGCGCTCACTCTCTCTCTCTCTAAAGTAATAAAATCTTGGGATGTCTGCCTTCCACCTAGAGTGTGATTCTGGAGAACCAGGATAGAGTCCCTACATCGGGCTCTCTGCTTCTCCCTCTGCCTATGTCTCTGCCTCTCTCCGTGTGTCTCTCATGAATAAATAAATAAAATCTTAAATAAATAAAAAAATAAAATCTTAAAAAAATAAAAACAAAAAAAATCCACTTACATAACAAAGCCTTTTAAGCCTGCACCATTAGCACCCTGGGTTGTAAGAGCAAACCACTGTACACCTAAGGTACAAAAAATACGTACTGGGGGCAAATATCAAATGTTTTGTTGTTGTTGTTTTTTAAAAGAATATTTACTTGTAGGTGAGGCTGAAGAAGACTACTATGTCACAGAATGGGTATTCCAGAAGAATCCCAAGGTTTACCGATTTTTAATAAACTATTCTAATAATTTGATAAATTTTTAAGAAGTAAATCACTTACCCCACTAGATTACATGTGTAATTACTTCAAAAAGTTTATCCCAAAAAGGAAAAGCATATTCTCCTAATACTGGAATTCACTGCCTATTTCCTATCTAGATAATTAAAGGTACTTAATTAACAACTATTTCTGTACAGTTTTCATAATCAAAGATATCACTCTTGTGATAATATACATTTATGGTTAAACAGAGTTTCAACAGATGAAGTACGAGGGGGGATTTTCACAGATGTACATTTTCTTTAATGTGGAAATTCAGTACTAAAAACAAATCTAGGCCTTATGCCTTGATTTTATTACTCTAATCACGCAACTTAGACATAAGGGTTCCAACACAGACAAATCATCAGTGATCATGGGTAAGCTGAGGGAATGCCAGAAATACTACCAAAGCAGGCCTCGTGTTCCTGCCATAGTTGAAGCCTCTGTCCCAAGACCAAAGCTGAAGCTGCACTTCAGTGAATCCCTAAAAGTACACCTGAACTAATTTTCATGGGGATTTAATTCATGGGCAGTGTTTTCACCAGGAAATGCAGAAAAGTCAATCACACACACAGTTTTCACACTACCAATAAAATATCTCAGCAGAGGCCAACTACACTACAGGTGCTCTGAATGGTTATTGGACAAATGCTGACCAAACTTGTCTTATAAATACAAAATCACTCTATGATTAAGGAGATATATATCCATTCTCTACAAATCATAAAGCTAATTAACAAGTCACTTTTCCTATGTTCTGAATATTCCCTACATTGCAGATCTTACAGAAATTCCAAAAAATTCTCATAGTATCATGTTCAGCTTCACTTTACTCCTAAACCTGCAGAACATATGTCACATCCTCAGTACAGATGAAAAAGACCTACCCCTTACAACATCAGGAGGCCCTAAAAAACCAAAACCAGCGATAAAAACAGAATATTCTAGAACAGAAACCAGCATTCTTCATCATTAAACACATACTCACAGGAAAAGACTCGCCCGCTGCACTGCTCAGGAGGGTTCCTTCCTCAGAGTCTGGAAACACTCCCTTCCTAACAATAACTGAACATTCCTACAGCTCTTTAAGAAGCTATAGACAAGTACCTTTACAAACTCATAGTAAAAGGATATCATCACATTTCTTCTGATATTCTGTTAATAAATTACTGCAACAAAGAAAAGAATGACATTACTTTCTTGATCTAGAAAATATACTGTTAAAATCACATTTCAAAATACGCTAGGCACCTGTCTTCCAAGGTTTCCTGCAACAAATTATGTTTAATTAGTTAAATATGTATACACACATATATGTATCACCTTCAATTCCTTAAAGGCACTCCAATGATATATGAACTTTAGAAACACAAAAGAAGAGCTCGTACCATGGCTATGAAATACTGTGAAGGAATCTGAGGCCCAGTCCCAAAGCTCAGAAGGCTTTAAAGATAGAAAACAGCTTTAAAAAACTGTTTGCTCTACCAGAGTCACCACCCATCCCCTGGGCTTGCCGGAAGAGGCTCCACCACAACCCACAGTTCAGGGTCCCAGGTGAGGACCCGTTCTACACCAGAGTCACCACCCACCCCTTGGGCTTGCCGTAACAGGCTCCACCATGACCCACAGCCCAGGGTCCCCAGTGAGGACCCGCTCTACCAGAGTCACTTCCTACTCCTCAGGCTTGCCATAAGGGGCTCTACTGCGATCCACAGCCCAAGGCCCCGGGGAGGATGGAAACTCTCTGGGCCCAGGGACCCAGCACCACCTGCTCTGGCTTGTCTATCAGGTTCATGAAGTTCAACAAAACACATGAAAACATACTCACTCTGTATTAATAATTTTCTGCTTCAAGGTAATTAGTGCTTCAACATACTCGTTTAAATTCTGAAAGAAAAAAAAGCTATAGTCAGCTACTTGTTTTTGTAGTATGAATGACATTTTCTGTAATATGTGACTTACTATAAAACATGAACATATCTACTCTCATGTAAACACAGAAATACGTAAAGATATTATTTATGTTGCATAGAAACACTGACCTACTCTGTGTGATCTTGAACCCATGCTCTAACTCTGAATCTTTCTTTAGGTGGATGACCCTCTCTCTGACAGCAAGGGGGGTGTACAGACATTCTGACGGAGTGCTCTTATTAATCAGTGAAAATCTGATACATATTCACTATTTCAGTTCACTAATTACTAGTAATCATCAGTCTACGACTCACTCAAAATTGTCTCTGAAAGGATTTAAGACAATCAGAAAGTCACATAAATTATAAAAAGAGCAAAAAATAAAAATAACATGGGAAGAACAAATGGGAATACTAAAATAGGGATGAAATTCAATGAAAAATCTATTTTATATAGATCTTTATAAAGATCTATATATTTTAGAGACCTAAATATATAGATCTATAAGATACATAATATACATATATATACAAAATATATTTGTAGTTGGTCATTATAAAGATCTATATATTTTAGGGACCAACTACAAATCTGGCTCTAAATTACTGCTATCAATCCAACAGGCAAAACATCATTACTACACTGCTCAAAATGTTCCTAAGACTTAAAAACAGGTATTTTTTAAGTGATTTTTTACCCTAACATCTCCATATTTCATTAGTAAATACTTCAAAAGAACTTATTTTCCACATTGATTATTCCCAAAAATCTTTTTCTAGATAATCCAAATGACAGAATTTTAGAAGTATTTCCCTATATAGTAGTCTGTCCATCTTCTTTGCAGTCATACATGTAACATGTTAAAATACAAAAGGGTACACACTGAAATACATAAACAAAAAGTCTTAGTTTGGGATGCCTGGGTGGCTCAGTTGTTTGAGTGCCCAACTCTTGGTTTCGGCTGGTGTTTCTCATCTCAGGGTCATGGGACTGAGCCTGAGTCAGGCTCTGAGGTCAGCTCAGAGTCTCCTTGTCCCTCTCCCTCTGCGTCCCATCTCCTACATGTGTGCCCTCTCTCTCTCTCCAAAATATAAATAAATAAAATCTTAAAAAAAAAAAAAAGCCTTTGTTTTCTTATATTCCCACCACCAATCAGTATTCCTCTTTGAGTATCTCCTTCCAGAACTGTTCCTGCATAAGTAAAGGATATCTGGATGTGCTCATTCCACCAACTCACCACTGAAGGCCATTCGGGTTCTTTCTGATTCCAACAGCATCCCATGACTATCCCTGCCCATTCCTGTGAGATCCTTCTATCTTTCCTTAGGATCAAGTCTAAATAGGCTTCCTGCATTGGTGATAGTTATGAGCTTTGAAAAATCTTAAAGGCCTATTTTTCCATTTAAATTTCTTTATGAGTATGACTGAGAAATCTCTTGCCATTCACAGTTTTTCTCTTAACACTGTATGGTCCTTAACCACTGGTGTGGTGGCACTTTCTTATACCTGAGATAGTTGAGCAAAAGAAACATTTCATTAAAAGTTACAAATACATACATGCAGTATGTCAACTGATCACTAAAATATAACCACAGAGGCACGCAGAAGCTTTAAATATTCAGAGCTGAATCTGTCAGTTTTTTAAAAAAAAAAAACAACTTTGGTTTCCTGATATATTTAGAAAATTCTATCCCACCCAAGATGCTAAAATAAAAGGATTCTTCTATACATTCTTTTAGTACTTTCATGCTTTCATTTTTTATATTTACATCTTTAATCATTCTGGTATAGTATATAGTAGAGACTCTAAACATTGTAAGTCAAAAGGGCAATGAGTGGACCATTCCATATTTGTGTTCAATGTATATTTTTGCTTTCCACATTAAAAAATAGTCATCACGTACAAAATAAATTCCACATAACAATAGATTTCTGGGCACAGAGGGTAAATAATGCAACTGCTTTTCTTCCCTCCCTAAAAGCCAGCTAATACTAAAGCCAAGGAACTTTTGTCCCAAAGGCAAAACCCACAAAGATGAGAGCAGAATAAAGGACAAATGGAAACTGGAAAGCAGATTCGAGAATACTGACTCAAGAAAGCAGGAGAGGTGGGAAAGGGGGGAATCTGTGACACCAGGTGCTCTGAGACAGGAGAGAGCAGGGTGACACCAAAATGAGAACTGGTTGCAAGCTTTTTTAAAAGCATGAAATCCTCAACTTCCTACCTCTCTGCCATGCCACCATCCAGCAAAAGCTTTGCTGTCTGAAGTATCCTCTGCCTGGGACACTGCAAATATTGTGCCAAAAACAAAGGGACAAAGCACCTCCTACAATACTGACCTGACCCTGACCACCTGCTTGTCCCCACTGGCTCTCAGACTGTCACAGCCAGTCCATTGCCCTCCAAGCGGGAGACTAAAAGCGCTTTCTCAGAGGACATCTAACCAGCACTGGCACAAGACAGCCTTCAAATAAATGACCCACCAGACCTGCATGAAGCTCAGGGTCCAGAAGCCCTGCACACTCAGCATTTCCAGCCAGCAGAGTAGCCAACAGTTTTAATAGGAACAACCATGGATTTCCACACATCAGAGAGAAGCCTGTAACACGAAAGAGACACCAAAACAAGACAAAGCAAGTTGGAGTAAACAAAAACTGAGAAGAAAACTTCAAAAATATTAATATGATCAGAGATAAATGATGTTATATTCATGAAACAACAGTACTTTTAAAAGGAATATACAGAGTTCCAAGAAATTTCTTTTTAAAGCTCTTAAAAATTAAAGACAGACCCATTAGGATGGCTGAAGTCACAATGACAGGCAAGTGTCAGTGAGGATGGGAGAAACTGGAGCCTCGGGTTCTGTGTTGGAGTACGACATGGAGCAGCTGTTGTGGACAGCAGTTTGGCAATTCCTCCAAATGTCAAACACAGTTCACCATGTTATCCAGCAATGCCACTCCTCGGTCTCTGCCCAAGAGACCTGAAAACACACGTCCATGCCAAATTCGAACTCTGCAACTTACGACACTATCCACACTAGCCAAAAAGTAGAAATAAGCTAAACATGCACCAAATGATGCATGGATAAAGAAGATGTCACACAGCCATACCATTTGATCTCAGCAATGAAAACAAATAAATGACACCTGCATGACAAGGCTAAACCTGGGAAACATCACATACATGCAAGAGTCTGGTCACAAAAGGCTACATGCTGTATGAGTCCACTCATATGAATTGTCCATCACAGGCAAATCCAGAGACAGAGGACGTTAGTGGTTGGTTGCCAGGGACGGGGCGGGGTGGGGCGGGGCGGGGGCAGGGCGGGGTGGGGTGGGTGGATGGAAATGATGGCTAATGCCTAAGAGGGTTCTTGGCAGGAGCATGGGGGGGGGGGGGATGAATGTGTCTTACAAAGTGATGACAGAGTTGCATAACTGTGAACTAAAAACCACTGAATTGTACACATAAAAAGGATGAATTTTATGGTATGTGTATTACATCTCAATAAAACTGTCAGAACTAAATTAAAAACAGGAAAGCGAAATAAAAGCCTCAAAAGGTTTAATGATAAAACTGGGGGAAAAAAAGCTTCTCAAATAAAGCAAAACAGACATGAGAAAGAACAAAGAAAAATAAAAACAATTGGAGTATCAGTGCAAGATCTCACGTGCCCAACAATAAGAGTTCCAGACAGAGCCATAGAAAAAGACACACAGATAACCAAAGAAATTGTGATATTCAAGAAGAAATCTCAGAATTGAAACCAGAAGTTTCCAAACTAAAAAGTCCCAGCACACAAACAGAAACCACGGAACATCGGCACCAAATTTCAGAGCATCAGAGACAAGCAAAGATCCTACAGGAACCCCAAGAGAAAAATAAAACCGAGCAACTCATATACAAAGAAAGTGGCATCAGAATGGCTTCAGCTTTCAACAATAACCTAGAGACCTAGAAAGCAAGTCTTCAAAATCTTCAAGCAAAGTAATTTCCAAGGTAAAATTCTGTACAAGGCACCAATCAACTGAGATGGTAAAACAGCCATTTTATCTCCAGAATTTCTATGAATTTACTTCCCAGACAGCCTTAATAGGGAAATCCTGGAGAATATGAACATGTTTCACCAGAACCCTGGAGTAAACCCAGACAAACGATATGGCACACAAGACAGAGGAAATGGGAATCCAGGAAGGCAGCTGTGCCCAGAACAGAGCAGGTTCAAAGGCTGAGGAGGAGGGAATTTCTTTTCCCTTAAGAAGAAACTGACAGAAATATCTGGTAGAATGAAAGCATTAAGATGACATTTCTGGGACACCTGGGTGGCTCAGCAGTTTGGTGCCTGCCTTTGGCCCAAGACGTGATCCTGGAGTCCCGGAATAGAGTCCCGCATCGGGCTCCCTGCATGGAGCCTGCTTCTCCCTCTGCCTGTGTCTCTGCCTCTCTCTCTGTGTCTCATGAATAAAATATTTAAAAAAAAAAAAAAAAAAAAAGAGAGAGAGAGAGAGAGAAAGAGACAGAGATGACATTTCTGATAGAGAACTCCAAGTAAATGTAGTTGGTGTTCACCATGCATTTAAAATTATTTTTTAAATATAAGTGATTCTTCCCTTTTTTCCCCATCCTCTTTCCAGTTCTTTGCTAGCAGGCCTCATCTCCACCTTGCTTTCAGATGTCATTCTGTAACATAAAGTACTACAAAGAGACATTCCAGAAACCTGACTCTAGAGTCACACACAGCTGGATTCAAATTCTTGTCCCACCTTTCTGGCTGAGTGAAACTTGGGCATATGTTTAGCCTCCCCTTGCCTCAAGATCCTTTCCAATTCCACAGATAAAGAGACTGAAGCGCTGGGAGGGGCACAGCTGGTCAGCTATCAGGAACAAATAAGATGAGCCACAGGAAGGGTTTGACCCAGTCCCTGGCATATGGTAAATAGTCCTTAATCTTTTCAAGATGAGCAAGTTG